TTTATAATATTATAGAAATCCATTTAAAAGTAATTGTAAATGTACCTAAGTAGTTATGCAGATGAGGGAGTTGGTATTCCCTGCAAACTGCAAAGTGAATATGTGTAATAAAGTAGATAGTAACTAGTAAGGTAAGTATAATAAATTTATATAAGGCACGAAAATTTCCCAGAATTATTGATCGATATCGTATGAAGTAATCATTAATAGGCAATTAAAGTTGGGTGGAACTACATTAGTTTTAAATTATTGGAACCAGTTACTTTCTTTGCATATTAGTAAAACAAGTCTTATCGAGTATTCATGCGTGCATTTAGCATTTAAGTACAGTAATCTTAACTTATAATTATAACCTGCACATAGCCTATAGGCTATATTTATTAGTAAGTAATTACAATGACTAATGACGGATATAAATTATAAACAACAGAGGCGTGTTCGTCTCATTTTAAAGCTGTTATTGGCACTTTTACATCTTTTAATTCGGTACACTTTTAAATTCAAACAGTTATTTACTTGATCTCATAGTTTGCAGTTCGTATGAAATATAACTAATATTGTTGAGAAGTCATCACAATGTCTACCTCACAATTATTTATTCTGTAAACATTTTATTCATTACAAGTAAAATACTGTAGTTACTAGTTAGTCTCAAAAAGTTACATTAAATAATATTATTGAACAAGAAAATATTATTTATAAGTTTAATTTAAATGTTTATGATTATGTTTTCTGTTTTTCTCCTTGGCACGATCACGTGACTTTTAGATCAAGGTTGTAGTGGTGTTGTGCAACTACAATAAATCCTAAATTACGGTACCTAGTATTATAGAGCCATAGAGGCGTCCTAAATTACGACTTTAGAACGAGGAACCTGTGAATATACATTGATGATTGAAATAATGCATCTTACCTTGACGTAATCTCGGTTAACTGGCGAATTACGCATAAAACATTAAATCGACCATCCTATTGGGAAACGGTGACACGAAAACGAGGTTTGATCGAGTACCGGACAGCGTGCAACAGGCAGATGCATGGAAAACTGTTGAACTGCCATAGTTTTCCGTCGAGATTCCAGACTGACCGACCGAAAATGTCTCGGTTACCCTTTTACACGAGTAAATTCTTTTATAATGTGGGTGATGGTGACTGCATAAAGTCTGCCGCATCGACTGTTATCCATTTTGTATATACGGATCTATGAGCACCACTAGAGTCGAAATTCTGGAAAGTAGCGAAAACAAAAATAATATATAACATGGGGCATGGCTGATATTTAGTCAGGTTTTTTTTCTAACACAACAAAAGAACCATCGAGGTTGGCCTAACCCCAAAATGTGATCTCCGTTTTCTCCGCGTCTGCTGCGCCGCACTGTGTGATTTATAATCATATTTGATCAAATCAAACTGTTTTACGCATCGTCGTTCGTCATCCGTGAGAATTCTCAAGGACGTCGACGAGTATAATATTATACTATAATAGTATAATCCAAAATATAGTGTAATTTATATTGGTTATGTGCGCTCAGAGCGATTAAACTCCAGCGGAAAGGGTCTTTAATCAATTTATGGTATTTAAGTGTTATGTACCTATAGGTACCTATATATTTTGCGAGCAATATCATTTCCTGTCCGACGAAACGCGTTGCCCGTTTCCCGAGCGAACTGAGCGTCGCCAAAGTAATAGACTCACGTCTTTTCCCCTATATTACCTATACTGCACATGCTCTTTGACCTTTGCTAGGTTTAGACATAAAACAGCTATATTGGATGTTATATAGAATGTGCATTTATTATACAGCGTTCACTATGTATAGGTAATTGATATTTGGTAGGTACTAGCCACTATTATAGGTTTATAAACTTACGAGATTTTGAAACGTACGAGGCATCATGTACATTTGAAAAATTCAAGTTAAACCTTGAAGAAATAGTCGTGTACTTACTCTCCGTATGAACGGTTTGTTCATTGTATATATTATGTTCCTATGTCATATAAAATATAATTTAAGTTTAAGCATTTAAGGATAATGAACGTGACGTACTTTAAAAATCAATCTGTATGAAGGGGTAGGTGTGTTATACCTGGCTTAATAAAATATAAGACATGCAAGTTAGGTTGTGTACCTGCAATAACCACAGTAAAATCACTAACATTTAACGTTAGAATTAATTGTATACTTATTGGCTACAATCATTAAATATTTTTTAAGTAAATAGGAAAAACAACTCCAATAAAATAAAATAAACCGAATTTCAATAAGAAATAGCAATACATAGGTAACTTAGAATGTAAAAAGTATAGGGTTTAGAAATAATAAAATGTGCAATAAGTAGGTAAGTAAAATACTGAATACCGTACATTTTTAATATTATATAGGTAACTTATCGTGGGCTTGTTTTTTTAACACATATTGAAATGACACGTTATCATAGTAAGACTGCTTACTCCTGATAGCTTAGAGTTTTTTTTTTCTATTTTTGGGTGTGTTCTCGTATGGTATACCTAACTAATTTCGTATAATTGTATGACCAAGTGACAGTTAATTTATTTTTCACGCGCGAACACCATCGATATTATTCAATTCATAATAATATTTATGTAATATAACATATGAAATGTACCTATATTTGTATGATATTATTTCATTTAAATATTTAAATACATATAACTTATAAGCATATAGGTAACTGTACTACCTATTGTTTTATTACATTGATAAATAATTTAAAGCCTGACATTGCAGAAGTCATAGCGAAGTGCAAACCTGAGAAAAAATTTACTAGTTATTTGGTCTAAACAGTAGAACAAGAGAACTTCAAGAGTAAATTATCAATTTATAAAATGTACGTAAGTAACTATTTTTAATTTTTGGTCTTTCGGCACATGCAGTGATTAAAATAATTAAGAATTGAATAAATATTAATTTAGGCGATTCATTATAAGTACGTACCTATCGGTCTATCATCATTGACTAAAAATACTAATTACTAAATAGTATTTATCTGCAGGTACATCGAGATATCATTTAAATGTTATGTTATTACAATGAAAAAAGAAAATAGTAATTAATACTTAATAGATGTACTTATAATATAATGATGTAAGACATATAATTATGAAGTGCTGTACATTCTTTTTTGAAAAACAACAGTTTTATTCGCAAAATACTCTATGCTACATAATGTAAGCTGCTTCACAGTTCGCGGAATTATATTAGAGGAGTCATCGCGAAACTACCAGACAAAAACAAATAAACCGTTTACGTAGTATATTTTTTAGTCTAAATAGTAAATACGTATGTACAGATATTAGTTCACCCGGGAACCACAGCGTAGAAACTGTCACTCATTACTCATACACAGAAAAATATAATATGTAAACACGCGTGCAACGCTGTGGGCGTCCCGGACAGTGTCGTTATAGTAATGAGTGTACACATAGTATGATGCTACGTATGGATGATAATGATATAATAATATAATATGTGAAATATAAAAAAATATTTAATATTATTGTTCTATGTCCATGTCAAAAATCATCGTACAGCAAAATATTATAATTTTTTGACGCGTATAGTGTCTGCTCGAATTATTATTGAGCAGTAGGTCCTTACAAGATATCCGACCTTATCGTTTTCTCTTCCGACGCCGCCGTCGCCTCCTCCTCCCTATCCGTCCCAATGTGTCCCATCATGTCAGCCACGTGACATCAATCCACCGTGTTATTAGTCGTACACCGGCTGCGCCGGAATATTTTTTTTCCCCGCTCGATCGCAGTTTCACCGTCCGCGTGAGAATATTGCTACGTGTAATACGCACGAAACGCGTGGCAGAAATCAAATGGTGTTATAATAAAACGTATAATGCCTGCCAGGAACATAGTGCACTCTAATATTTGGCTAATGGCTATATGTAATCCACGAAAACGAAAAACGCCCGTTGCGTGTCGTTGTCGCGCGGGGAAGAACAGACGCCGCGTATTTTGTTTTATATTTTTTAGTTTATGTATCGTCGTAAACTCGTTACCATGTATCGTCGGGTATTCATTCGAATAACATGTTATGCAATAATTAAAATGGTTCAAAGTTGTTTTACATTATTATACTATAGGTACGGTTGTACTTGAGCAGTCGCGTCCGCCAAAAATTAAAATACGCATCGACTTTTGTAGTTTCGTATACATCCGCGCGTGAACTCAATTATTTTCGGTACCTACGTATTATAAATTATACCGTACAGGTAGGCATACTACAACCACTAACCGTACGATATAATACAATAATACTTCACACGATGTCACGATCTATAATATCGTATAGGTATAATAATGTGCGTTGTGTAAAAAATACATTATAGGCGTATTATATTATGCGTTTCCTCGGCGCACGCGGAACACGAAAATACGTGTACAGGAAATCGAAAAGAAAAAGGAAAATAACAGTCGGTCACTGGCAGCGGAGTCGACCGGGAAACGAGCGAATCGAAAACAAGGTCTCTGGGTCGGCGGCGCGCGGAAAACGTAACGCGTAGAGTACCGCCGCCGCCGCCGCCGAAGACACGCGCGCGACGGTTATTTCGTTTTTTTTATCATATTTTTCGTATTCGTTCGACGAGAGCGCGCGCGCCCGAGGCAGTTCGCCCGCCACCGTTTCACGTGTGGTGTCTGCCGCGGTTCGAGCGCTCCGTTTGTTTAGCACACTGCACAATACGATAATATGCGTAAATAATAATAACGATAACAATAATTTGACGACCCGGCGCCGTTGCAAGCGTCCGCCGTATCACTGCCGTATTTTCGGACGAATTATAGAATACACACAATAATAATATAAATCACAATCATCGGCCATTGCCTTTTATACGTAGGTACTACAACTATCATTGTTATTCGGACGAGGTGTTTTTTAATTTTTTGTTTTACCGTTCGTTTTTGCCGCGCTGCCGCCGCCGCCGCCGCCGCCGGCACCGTCTTCTCCCGACCATAAAAATAATAATAATAATAATATTACAATATTACAACGACTCCTCTCGAGAACATATTATATTTTAATATTTTATTATTCCGAGTGTTCGCGCCACGCGCACCTGTAGCAGGAGTGTGCAGGACGACCGTCGCTGTGGTGCGCGCGTGTGTGTCCCGGTGCAGCTAATGCCGACCACTTTGTAGTAATATCGTCGCTGCCGCCGCTGTCGCCGTCGTCCATTTCAATAATAATAATAATAGTACATATATTGTAACCTCCCGTCTTCATCGAGGCGAATCCTGCACTACGTCCGTACGTCGCTGCGTGGAACACACGTGTACGCGCGTGTGTATTTAGTCGTCCGTCCGTCTGTGATAATATTTTTTTATTTATATATATTTTTTTAAGTTTAAAAAAAGTTTTTTATCCGATCTTAAACACTCTCACAATTTGGGTCCAAATTACATAAACCGTGAGTTTTATTTTTTTTGATTTGATTTCAGTAAATATATTATTATATTATTCAGTAGGTACGACGCTCTGATAAATATTATAATATATTATTTTGTGTTGTTTTTCTTCTCTCCGCAATGTGCTTATTAATAGAGTAAGCTCTCGTTGACCGTTTGGTGTACACCAACCGGTAAATTTCTTATACGATGAATTAAAAAAAAAAAAATTAAAAGGCACAGCACGTGTGCGTCGACTAATAGCATAAAGTTAGAGTTACTATACTTTGTACAAGTGCACAATACCAACGTTTAATGCGTTTTCTCTGAGTAAACATATTCATTAGGTAGGTTTTTGAATTTAAATAAGCAGGAAAAATATATAACATGAAGTAGGTAGGTATATCATAGGGCATAGTTTAATCGAATCACACGTACTTTTATTTTATTTTTTCTACTTACTAAAATATTATAAAGTAGGTATACATAAAACAATTTAAAACGAAATAATTTTAAAGTATAACGGATTTTTGCTAACCGTCAAATTCAAACACAACATTTGTATTGGTTTATATAATACGCAAATATTGAAATATAATAAGTAATAAATAATAATGAATTATTTATTTTATAGTTATGTACCTATAATAGTATATTTACTTTTGTTTGCGAATAGAAATTCAAATACAAACGGGATTAATATTGTAGTAGTTATAGTGTTGTACATAGTTTTAACATCTATAACAGATTTCTGAAAAGTTTTTATACACTAACTACATACTCTGATATATTATACTTAGGTTCATATTACTTTATCCTACTTTCGTTTTCTCTCTTCCTTGTGGACATGAAGAAATTATCTGTACGAATGTACCTATTAGGTGGTGACAAGTGTTTTTGATTCTACTATTAATAATCCTCATACTTCTAACTGCAGTAATTAAAATAGAAAAAGTACTAACATATTATATAATATACATATTATTATTATACTTCATACATTATTCGCAATATTTACGATCGTTTATCATTGTAGAGTTTTTAATTTATATTTTTTATAAATCTGAATAAATAATTATTGTAATCACGGATAAACGAATACCTGCATACAATTAAGACAAAAATGTGGTGTTAAAATATTGTTGCGGGTAATGGTGCATACATTTATTATTTTATAATGTTTGGATTAAGTTAATAGGATATTTATACGATTACGCCACTAAAGGTTTATTTCTTTCGTGTAATCGTGTACCTATCTCGTGCAGGTATAGACAACACACAGGGCCGGATTAACATGACTACAAAAGAAGCTTTTGCTCAAGAGCTGCACATTTATAGAGCGATATCTTTTACACATTAATATTGTAATGTACATGAAATCTATGTTGTTTTAATGGCTTCTTAATAATGAATACCAAATATATTTTGCTCCAGAGCGGCTCTGATCTTTAATTCGGCTCCGCATCCTTACATACGTAGATGATAGATGCATACATACATAATTGCACAGTGTTACATTTTAAAATTTGAACCTTAGTACTTAGTGGAATAATTATAATAATTAACAGTTGTAAAATACTACCTATTAAATTAATATTTGATACCTATTATATACTATATACGATAATATATATAAACGCTAGATGCTTGTCTGATGTTAAACAACTTTAAATAAACATTTCTATTAATTCAATATAAAAACTACACAACAAGGATTTTAAAATCTATAAATTATTTAATAAACGTGTGTAAATATGTAAGTACCTACACATTATATGAGAAATAGTATAAGCCAATGGTGATAATATAGATTTAGTCGAACTAAATTAATAATCAAAAACATTAACAGATCGATATAATCTTGGTACATTATACTATTAAAGTTCGAAGTATAATTTTGTATGCATTCTTAACTTATATTAAATTAATATTTACAGTTTTTTGTTGAGTGTGAAATGTTATATTTGATAATAATCTTTGATTTAGTGAATTGTCATTGAATTAAGTATTTAAATTGTTTAGCTTATTGATCCCTATAATTTCTTATTTCATAAAAGATATAAGTTAGGTACCTACCTAATTATAACTGAAATGTAAAATCCATAAAGTATTAAGTATTAAGTTTTAAGTGTTTTTATCATCAATGATGTTAAATATAATGGAATCATAGGTTTTGATAGATTTCAGGTTTAAAAAATGATTTGATTATGAAATCAAGAACTTAGTAATTTTAGTCTTTTTAACCTACCTTATTTTATAAACTTTATTTTTGCTATTTGTTTAACTATACTAAAAGGTAAATATTTCATGTTTCTTATCTTATCAAACTACTTGACTATACTTTATAGATTATAAATTAAAATGTTATTTAGTTTATGCTTTGAATTATGTTTAGTTTTTAATTTTATTATGTAGATACAACTAGGTAAATATATATTGAATAATATTACAAGTCACGAACATTTTTTTCTTCAACGAAGCGAAATATTGTCTGAGTACGAGTTCCTATCTAGTACGAATGTTCTCAAATTTTTCTTTTTGCAATATCGAATGAGATATTTGGACAGTTTAATACAGAAAAAAATATGAGTGGAACGCAGCACCGTCCCTCTCCCGCCCCCAACGTAACCAAATTTGGTCAGGTTGACTCCTATGTTTGGATATACGTATCATAAAGTTGTACTTAGACTTTTTGCAGAATACAATATCACGAATATTTTATATTTAAATATTAGGTAATTGTATTGTACTCGTATTAAATATACACATAGAATAGAAAATACATGTCTTTAGACTAATTAGGTACCTATATAAAATGTATATGGGTTCCATATTCATATTTTCATTATTATTTAATGATGCACAGGAAATTATAAAAATGTGTACATTTTAAGCTATTTTTGTTGGTGCTGATTTTTTGAAGACGTCATGATATTTTTTATCTATGTAGGATCATATATAGTCGCTCATTTTTACAATATGATTTACTTTTCTAATATTTCAGATCATTAATTTTTTTTTTAATGTGTATTTATGCATTACTGTTTTTGTTTTATTTTATTGGATATTGTCATTTACTTTCGGTGTTACAATGATAGGTACTTGTTGTGGTTCAATACTTCAATGAACTATACAGTTCACGTAACGTTTATCTAGGTACACTAGTCTCAATGAATAATATTGTAAACAATATTTATAAGTGTATAAAATGTAAGTATTGTAATATATTAATAAATTGGATCATAGATTCCATTGTTTAATAATCACGTTATCATCAATCGAAGCAGCAATAATAAACAGATTTTTTTTATGATTATATACAGCGTTTATGTACATAGACACACGAAACAATATAAACTATCATAGTTGACACATTTGTCCAATCTTCTTCTTCATGGCATTTTACGGGCTGTCTAGGTCCATCATCTCCGTCTCATTTGCTGGTTGTTCCCTATTTTCTAATCTTATTTAGAGCTTTTTGTGTTTAGTTTCCATCTTGTAGCCAAATCTATGGGGCCTTCTGACCTCCATACATGACCGGCTCAGCTCATTTGTACTTCGTAGGACTCCAACTACATTTGTGTTTCTTCGTACAGTTATTCTTTTCTCTTTTTTTCTTTACTTATCTCGTATTCTCCTATAGGATGTTTGTCTTTGATTCAAATATCTTTCTAAGGATCTTTCTTTCTTATGTAGTAGTTTATTTTAATTTATCTTCATTGTAGATTTTTATGTGCCGCATGCATATGTGTTACTAGTTACCTGCAGCACTTTCTACATTGTTATTTTTGTTCTTCTCGAGAGATTTTTTTGATTTATTTAAGGGTATTAGTCCAACATAGCAACTATTTGCTTCTATCAATTTTAGGTTCTTTGTGGTTGTCGGTTTTCTTGCTAATGTTAAACCCCAAATATTTGATATTTGTTACCTTTACATTGGTGTCTAGCGACTATCACGTATTTTGTTTTCTCCTCGTTTACTGCTAATTCGATTGAAATTTATAAAACAATTTATAACTTATGTATCTAGAAATTGACATTTGCTTTAGGTCGGTCGTAGGCACAAAGTAAAGTATGGTTTTTTGTAAAGAAAATTGTAAAATTGCGTTGTTTATTTAAGGATGTTTATCATATTTTTTGCGTACAATAAAAGTAAATAGTTTAAAGTAAAATAATATGTTGTGAAAAATAAAATTTAATCATTCAGTTTCTATTAGGTATATACCTAATATATAGATCTTATCAGTTGAAGCTTACCATAGTCCATGGATGCTTCATAGTTCGGCTAGATAATTATTTATAAAAATATATTTTATAATCTATAGTCTATATACTATAGCTTTTAATTTACAACTACAAATAATAATAAATAACAATTACTATAATATTTGTATTTATTTATCTACAAAACAACAGATTAAATTTTAAATTGTATGTTTATAACTTATACTTACTGCCTACCGGCTACTTACTAAAAATATAAAATTACATGTTGTTTATTATTCTAAAAGTATTAAATAATATTAGGTAAGTACAATGTACAAACAACTGAAATGTTTAGAAGGAATATTCATATGCTGCTTTTATTTAATACTGAAATGAATTTCGTTGTAAAATCGATTTACTTGACATTTTGCAAATACAAGTCGATCTCTTTTATAGAGATGAGATCGATTAGTGCTCCTTTCTCTTTTTCCACTTTAGAAAAAAATTCCTTTAGTAGGTACCTATTTTAATACATTGTGATTTCAGCAGTTTATTTTAGTATGTTATAAACTAATATAGGTACTGATACAGTAATGCTAAACTGCACAATTATTTACTAACCCTATATAATATTTATTATAATCTGTAGATAATTTACTTTATAATATTGGTTTAGTGTCTATAATATTACGTACGGCTGTGCATATGTTGACTTTTGATTTTATACATGTTTACCTATTTGGTATAAATAAGACAATAACTAATAAAGTAAGTGATAAAATATTTATTTTTAAAACGGCTATTTTTATTTAAAAAAATTATTTAATAACTTAATTTTGAATAATTTATTGTCTTTCAAATTATTTAAATAATATAAATATAATAATATGTATACAAACATACATGGTGCTAGCTGTTGGTGCATCACTGTTTTACGTGACAGTCTAGATTTTCGAATAATACTGACTAGTAACACACACTTGTAGGTACTAAAGTTTAGCTTAGATATATTAATTTTTTTATACATTTAATTAAGCCATTTTAATGGCTTTTTGATTTCCAATCAATTGTATATAGGCTATATATTAAGTATTTATGTATAATAAGTCATAACAATCATTACAAAAACATGACTTTTTTGAAGAAATTATAAAAAGTATATTATTTCTTTTCAGTTTACTCTTATTTTTTTTACTAAGTTTATTACATATATATTACATGAATAATACTATTTATTAAATTTTTTTTTTTTATACAAATTTAGGATATTAATATAATTTTTTACGTGTTACTTTAAAAATTAAATTTTTTTAACTTAGTTGCAATTCCTCATTGCATCGAACTATTTAATTTCTATTTTTTTTTTATCTTCTTTGATAAACAATTATTTATTAATAAATTTGTGATTTCTATAGATTTTCTACTCGAAGTGTGAGTTGCAAGAAATTCAATTATTTTCTTATGTTGTACACAGCTACCGACCATTTGTGGCTTCAATAAATTAAAATGAAATTATAGCAGAGTAAATTTCACACAAATAGATATCATAGAAATTTTATTAACAAAAATTTAATTAAAATTTATTTTTCAGAATCTCAAAAAGTGTAGAATACAAATTAATAATATCACAATAATAGAACAAATGTGTTTTATTTAAATTTGTTTATTATTTCGTCATGTATATATACCCAGTCAATTTGTATTGATTAACTTTGTAACACGCTTACAGAAATAATAAGTATAAAGTAGGTTGACCTAGCTTTTTCGTGCTAACGAGACATATCGACTTTCAACAATGAACTTGAAAATAATAGTAAATGATGTTCGTATTACTGATATTTCTTGTATACAGAATAGTTTGATTCTATTACATTTAGTAAATTCTTTTATCGACTGATGTATGGTTTAAATTAGCAAATAATTAATACATATAATAAGTCATATGACTTTTATAATAATTTATTAATATCTATGTATATTGTTTACATTATTGTGTAGATGAAAATAGCTATAGGTACATATAACTATATACTTAATTATAGTTTACCTACGCTGAAAGTATAAAACTATTTTTTCCATTTACTAAAATGTTCTGAATAAAAACTTAATTTTAATTCATGAAAAAGAGTTCCCCTTTGATTTAATTAATGCGGATATTTGTTTCTTAAATATAATTTAATAATCTAACTGTTAAGTTTTAATGTTACTTACTATAGTAATCAGTAATTTACTATTATAGGTACAAACATCATTTTTGTTGAAAAGTAATAGTTCTTGAACTTATAGGTAATTTGAACTAAATTGTAGGCTATTGATCTTGTTGAATTTTTCAATGTAAATTTATTTGTATTGATTAAATAAACCCAAACGTTAAAAATATTGCATGTCTAGTCCTTTCGTGTTTCTATGTTCTAAGAAATAAAAATTGTAACTTTAGTAAGTACATAGTATATATAAGGTCATTTATTTAACGTCTTATTAATATAATTTGTCATTATTGTAATAATACCTATTTTAACCACTAGTATATAACTTTCATTGAAACTAATACAATTACGTTCTTGTTTTATATTAAATGTAAAATGTTTTTAATCAACCATTGAGTATTTTGTTATATTGTGATTTATATTATAGTTTGGTGCCTACCAATCGATGTTAGTAAAATAATAAAATACATAAACTTTTTCAATCAACTATTTTAAATAATTCAAAGTCTAACATTTTAGATATTATAAACAATACATTTATGTGCATTAAAATGTAGGACTAGGCAGAAATTGCTTTTATCTATGAATATGCTTTCAGACAAAGTAATTGAGTGATATCAATCTTCAATTCGTATTCGTATATTTACAAATTAATATTTGTATTTTATTTGAATCGATAAATTATAAACTTAAACTTAATATATTAATTTTGTTAGTATCATCATTTGTAATTTCAAATAATTATTTTATATTTGTAGGACTAAAGTGATCGATTTTTTAATCACTAAAAGTTGGTATAACTTTTAAAAATGAAGAAAGAAGAACCAGCCAACATGGAGACTGGATTGGTCATTAAACAAACCAGTAAGTATTTTTAGTGGTTAATACTTAATACGCTACGCCTTATATACGCATATACAGCTGTGTTGATAATTTTTAATTTTAAATAGGGTCGATGAACTGTTCAAGAATATTAAATCTTATGGTTTTATTTGGATTTATGGTCAATTATATGCTACGAGTAAACTTCACAATTGCCATTGTAGACATGGTACCTACCCATAAGCATAATGTATCGATAGAACAAGCCACTAATTTTTCAACTACACCTTCGAATGATACCAATGTAAGTAAATCTACTATTATTTTATCGAGCCTCCGGGTAATACAAATTATATCGATCCACGCACAACCGTTGTTAGGGTCTGTATATATTAGTATATTACCTATTGGTGATGTAACTAATTTCGTATTTATTATTTCATATTGATAAATTTCAATTTTTAAACGATACTTTGAAATATTTGTTATTACGAGAAACACTGCCCTTGAATTTAATTTCACTACTTTATGACAACACATTGTTGGTCAGTTATTTTACATCATTGGCACGAAAGCTAAAAGTTTTTGGATGCGCCCCAAAGCAAAAACATTGGTTTTTCTATGACGATATTATTAAAATCTGGTTCTATTTTTGTTGTCCCTGCGAAAATATTTCTCTGAAAATTCAATTAAATTACTAACATGTAACATGTTGTTTATAAATATCGATTATCTATTAGAAAAATTTGACTAGAACTCTGACTATTTTAGTGAATTGTAACCTAACCTTAATAATCTCAGAAAATCATTATTCATCAATTATGTTATATATTTTGTTTTAAATCTATAATTTATGTACTGTGACAATAGGTCAATAGCATAAGCCATAAGAAAATCATTAGTAAGTGACTAAGTATAACAGTCATCATATAACTTTGACCAAAAGCTCTCGAATAAAGACGTATCACGTATATAGAAAATTAAGTGAAAAAATCAATAATATCAACGATTATTGTATTTATTTACTAAATTTAATCATACAATTTATAAGTAAAATATAATACAATAACACTGATATTAATTTAACATATTTTATTATTAATACTTGTACTGTTTATATAGAGATCATTTTTAGACAATTATTTGCAATTTTTGATTCAACAAAATTGAATTTAAAACCTATTTAAAAAAACAAGTAGGAAAGTTAGGTACCTACATATTTACTAAATCAATAAACCTATTATTTTAGTATTTGGTAATGTGTAATTTCGAGATTTGTGAAAGTATTCGTTTTAGGAATTTGTATTGCATTTATAAACTTTTTTGAAACAACCTAATTGTATTTTTGTGTTCAATATACATTTTCACTATGTTTACCAGAATGTAATTAATAAAATAATACAATGAATGAAAGTAAACCATCAGTGGTCGTAAATATTTTAGTGTAGGTATACCATTAATTTAAACGTATAGGATTAATGTATTAGGCTACATGTTAATCATTTATATTTAAATAGTTTTTATTGGGTTTATAATTGTTTACATATTATTGAGATACAAATGATCTTGTAGCTGCTAAAATGATCTAACATCCAATATATTCATAGTTCATCTAAAGACAGGGGCATTCCAAAACGTTCTTTAAATTTGAAACAATTTGTGCACGAAATGAACATTGTAGCATCTCCTCTCCCCCCAGTTTAGTCTCACTCCATTGAAACTGAACGTGAGGTATTTTAAAATATAATATCTTTTATTAGGTACCTACCTATATATATTGTAATGACTACTAAGATTGGTCTTTGGTAATCATTAATCAGTAGGTAATATTGGTATTAATATGTTAGATTGGTTATTGCATTTGGTAAATTAATTTTCCATCATTATCATTAGTTACTTATGGTGTATTTGGAAAATAAACAACGAATGTTTACGATTAATTTTTGAATAACATTAAATTAACAACTATTATTAAACGATTATAGCATATGGCATTGTAAATTCTAAGAATATCAGATTGCGTCAAGGATGAAAGTGTAACAATAGGAAAATTTCCTTTGCACTTTGCTGCAGTGATGTAATTTATAATACATTTTTCGGAATAACTACACTGCGTTCAAGGAAAGACTGTAATTAACAAAAAATAGACCTTTGGAACTTACCAGCAAAATGCTAATGGATATCATAATATATCTGTATGATTTTATTCTCTATGAGTTAGGCCCAGTAGTATCCTTTTTATAAAAAGTAGAGCTTTGTCTTATTCTATTAAAGTGGTGACTTGATATTTTTTCTCATCAGAATTCACTGACATAAAGCTGTAAGATTCATTTTTTGCATTTCGCAACATCAAAAATGCGATTAAATATCTTTAGCATTTGAGCGTTCTATATTTAGTTTCAGTTTAGATCAAAATATTCTAAATCTAACCAAAATAATAAAAAAAACGTAGACACAGACGGTGACTTCATTATATCTATATCTATTGTTAGTTATTACAATATAGGTACAATATAGGAATTATAAAACAACCAAACTATGTACAATTGTATGAATAGTATCAATATAGAATATTACGTCTTTGTACTTTGGAGAATGTTTTGATATAAATCAAAGAGTTGATTCACATTGTGATCAAAGTACGACTTAGTTCATAAATAATTAGGTTTAGGTATGTAAAAAAATTAAATTTGTATACATTTTTAATTGCCTGGTATAAATAATAAATATATCTGTGTATCAATTATGCCCACTATATCATATAAATGTTATTCGATTATTTTTCTTCATGCGAATATTTTTAAATTGAATAAATAAATTAAACATAATATGTATATTGTATATAAAGAAAAGAAAAAATACATTTTAATAATTTGATTGTTATTTTAATTCATATTATTAGATTATACATTATTATCTCGTTAAAATTTAGTGGGGCATTAATTTTTTTAATAATAAATTAATAAGAATAAAAAGATCAGCAGTAACTATGTTATTTGAATGCCACGAAAATTTAATCTAGGTACAGTTACTTGAAGGTATATTGGTCTACCTCGTTATTGAGTTGATCACTGAGATTGATGAAGGAGGGAGGTGAAAATTTTTTGATTTACTGTGCCTGCGTGGACAAAATGTTAACCGTTTGAATTTTTCAAAAATAAGTGTAATATTAAGTTTTTTAAGTAGCAAAAAAACACCACGATCAAATTAAAAGTTTACCTGTCGAAATATTTATTGCTACCTTACTAGATCACTGATCATAATTTATTATATCTACTGAATAATTCGTGATTTCAACGAATTTTGTCAGCAAACATTTGAAATTAAATGGTCATAAAAAATATTATGATATAATAATAAGCCAAATAAAAACTAAAAAAGTCGATAAACCAAAAATATCATAAATAAATAAATTAAATAAATAATAAAAACAAGCATAATTGAAAAACTAATACATTAGTCTTTTCGCTCAAAATCTAAAACGCATTCCTTTTATAAGAATACATAACATGTTAGGTTTAGATATAAAATATTATAATTTATGTATATTGTATTTATGTGTTTTGAATTTGATTGAAATCGATTGATGAAAAAAATTTGAATAGTAAATGAATGTTTAAAATATCGTTTTTTTAAATTAATTTCTTTTTGCATACTTCCTTTTGATTTAGTTATTAGTTATATTCAATAATCAATATAGGTATTTGATGTTATATTAATAAACTCAACATCGTAAAATAATAGTAATAACTATTTGAATGCTATAAAATAATATAGATTAGAATCTAATCATTAACTGATGATCCGTAAACTGATCAATACGTATTGTACTGTTATAAATTAACTCTGAGGACACTTAGATAAGTAGATAATTTAATTTAATATCTCCGGATTTTTAGTCTTTATACAAGTAGGGTATAATTAATGATAAAATATAAAGTGAGTTGTATTTCTAATTTTTTGATTTATGAATATTTAACTGTTTATATTGAATGATTAATATAATTATTTACGGCTAATATAAATTTATTATGTTTTCTAATTACTAGGTTAAGAGCCCCGAGGTAGTGAAAATATAGATTATAATATAATTTATCAATAATAATTTAGGGCATCGGATCACGATATCGTTTATGCTATTTAATAATCATAATACCTATAAATGATTTGTTCGGGTTTTTTTTCGATTGTAATATAATTTCGACCTTCGATATTTTGATATCTGTATAAATTACACCTGTAGACTACAATTTTTTTTTTTTATAATAATTACGTTACCTAGTACATTAGTTATGTATTACCTAATGATAAACAATATTATGTTGGGATAGGTGTTCTATATGGGCTTAAATATACTAATAGACGATGAAACAAATTTTCGTATTTGTATATTTTATGATATATTTTTCAACCTTGAACTATTATATTGATAAGCAAGTATTTTCAAATTGTATGCTGAAACCCTGAAATAATACATTTCTTCACTACATCTCTATCGATGTATTTTTAAAATATAAGTCTTTAAATATTGAAATTATCGTAAAAGAAAAATTGTGTGATTTAACGCAAGGATTGCATAGTTAAAAAAACAAATAAAATAATTTAACTTTTTCTCTATATTATATATTTTCATCTTATATGTTGTATTTACAATGTTTCCAGTATGATGGCTAATTTTAATTTATGTGTACATCATGTTTTGTATTAATATTAATGTCAACATTTATGTAAGTACCAGGTAAATTATTTATTATTGTACATATTAAGTACGATTTATTTAAATTTTAAAACTATAATAGAATACAACAGTAAATAATTGCATAAAAATGAAGTTTTCAGTCATACCTTTGTTTTCACATTTTATTTTTATGTATATTTTAAAATTCAAACAACATGTTACACGTAATTAATACCATTTAGAGTTATTTTTGTGACCGTGTAGCAATTAAAATTAATTTCTAACTTACAAATTAGTCTTTAAAGTCTAAATTTCTTATTATAAATAAATAATAAAGAATAGGACAGAATAGGTACATAATTTATAATTTGTCACATGCCATTTATTTTGTTGATTTTGTGATAGGCGTACTATAACAAGAATAGCAGCGTTCATTTTTACGAAACTTAGAGTGACTTTTTTTTTCTTATTCTCTACAATATATATCTTACGAGGAATTTAAAAACCAGATTTTTTAATCCTATTAGTGCAAATATATGTTATAAATTACCATAAAACCTGATACCTTGAGCAATTGTATGTGAATTGTAGTATAATATATTTTAAGGATCAGGTTTTGTTTTTTTTCTTTAAATAAATACCGTTATGTTTCATTTATTTAAAGGTATGCTTGATTTCCTAAATGAATTATAAAATTTAAATTGATATATTGCCTACTTATATATATATTATTATTATACATAGATATTGTGTCATGCAGTCAAATGAGTCAACACATATATTACATATCTAGGTAAAACATATTTTAAAATACCGTTGTCCCTATATACATCCGTCTTGACATATTGACATGCGTTGCCACGGTTACTAATATCATTGATGATTTTTTAAAAATATTATTATAGGGACATTAAATGTAGGTATTTTTTTATTACTCATTACGGTTTTGTATAAAAACGTATGATATGTACTTTGACAATATATTATAATTTATAAACAAACAAGGAAAAGAAAACGCTATTAGTGTGATAATTCCTTGTTGGTACTTTAACCAATATAATAATATTGTTTTCTAGCTATCAAATTGTCACAATTTTGAATTATAATACAATTTCAGTAGGTGCATAAGTAAAAAATATAAGGAAATTAAAATTTTTAATCATAATTTAACACACTCGTTTATAAAGCCACTTTTTTTATCACTTTTTGTTCAAATGTGTTACCGTTTCATTAATGTCAATTTTAATACATTACATTTGATTAAGTAGTTAGTATAAGAAATTATCAGTTTTACATTTTCATTTTGAGCTCATAAATTACTTATAGAAATCAGAAGCAATGCATTTTTAATAGGTATACATAATTACTGCTCAATACTCATATATTTAATATTTTACTTGAAAAAAAATTGTTATAATTGATTTATTATTTTTGGGTTAATTTATAATAATTTATAGGCATCAATAAATTGTAAAAATTTTTTTAATTAAATATTAAAAATTCATTAATAAATGTTTCAATCACAAATAATAAATATTGCTGTGTATTTATAATATAATCAAATATTAATAAATACCTCTAACAAATTAATATTTTATACTTAAAATTTGGGTATTGTTGAATTAATTATTTGGCTAGGTATTAGGATAAGGTATTAAGAAACCAAAAAAAAAAAAAACACAAATTTTAAGTACTTATAATATTTCTTAGAATATTATGCGTTATGATGTTTGGTTTATTTGTACTATAATATATATAGTATTTAAATGTGGTAAATAATAATCTATTCTAACTGCTAGGAATTTCCACAGTCCATCCACAGTATTTGAATAAAAGCCTATAGGAATAATAACAGATGGCCATGACCGAAACTGCCACTGATGCATGTTACTGTTAAAGTGTTAATTGAATTATTTGATTTATAAATTTATGAAATCCATTTAAAATAAAGCAATTAGATTTTAATTTAAAATTGATCAACTAACAATTTAAACGATACCAAACCAATGTTTGGTTTTCGTCTCCCACAATATACATAGTTATCATGCATATTAGTTCTATTTTTTTTTTTTATAAATGATTGAAAAGTGATTTTAGAATATAAACAATTCTAATACGAATTAAAGAAACTATGTATTATAGGTATATTTTTAGGGAATGTCGCTATTTTTTATTTTAATATTCATTATCCAATTGATGTTTTTTTTCAGGCTACTGTGAGCTGGACACATTCTAATCCACCTGGTGTTGTGAAGTTTAACTGGTCCGAATATGAACAAAATATGATATTAGGCAGTTTCTTTTGGGGCTATGTTCTTACGGAATTGCCAGGTGGTCGTTTGGCCGAAATGATTGGAGCTCGACCAGTTTTCGGCTACTCTATGCTGTTAGCGTCAATGGTTACCTTATTGACACCTATGGCCGCCAAAATCAGCATATATTGCCTCATATTTTGTCGGGTGTTTTTAGGATTTACTTTAGTGAGTGATGTTTAATATATTTATTATTGATTAGGTACTATAAAATAATTTTAAAATTAGAACGAAACATTGTTATTATTAATGAGTGTATATTATACGAAATAGATTGTTCTAATTTAAATTTAAAAAAATTGATCAAAAACAAATAAAGCTCTAAAAATAGTAAATATTAATATATTATTATCTAATACATCTATCTATATTGTAGTTTATATAAATTTAAAAAGTTTATAAGGGGCTTATAGACTTTGATAATCAATACTACCTACTGAACCAATTGGTTTTTGATTGTGACAGTAGATGTAAAATGCCTCACTGAATATATCTTGTTATTCGTTAAAATAAGTACCAGTAGTTTTTAATTTTTTATTTAAATTAATATCGAAAGTTATATTTATAATGCGGTTATTATAATATTATGTAACTTCAACTCATTATTCATATTTCAGGGAGTAACATGGCCGGCTATATTACCACTTGCTGCCAATTGGATTCCACCAAATGAACGTAGCAAGTTCATGTCTAACATGATGGGTATTATGTCATTTTACTTTAAATTATATGGCTTTTAAATTCCTTTCACCATTTTTCATAACTTTTTTATTGGTGATTATTTATTATTTATAACTCCATTTTTGGCTAGATATACAAGGAAATTACTTAGTAGCAATTTTGATAATGAGCTGCTTATTGTTACGTACATGGCTTTTCATATTTAAACAAGGTTTCTTAATTTATTCAACTGTCATAAAAAAATTGAGTTCTCGACAATTAATTGTAAAGCACTTAGTATAGAATGTAGAAAAATTTAGTCTGACACTAAAATTAATTTGCCAATTACACTGTCTCGTTTCTTGATTAATTCAAATTCATTATAATACTATTATATTGTCGTGGGAAGAATTTTTAATTTTTACAAATCAAATCTAGAATTTGATCCTGAAATAATAATAACTGCATAAGACGATAATTTAAAAAATAAACAGGCAGCGAATTAGCGATTATTAATCATTATACCTATGTTTAGGAACCTATGTATACAGGTACCTTATAGCTGTATAGATATTAAAATAGTATTGTAGTACCTATGTGAAATGTAACTATTTCAATTATTCGGTGTATTATATTTGCCTTATGAATTATGTATGATGTAACTATAGAATTATTAGATATTATTTCTAACTATTTGATATAAGTAATATTTTTTCACCAATTTATTAAATTTGTGTAAAACTTATACCACAGTATACAAAAACTACCAATAATTATCATCAATGTTGATACATTTTCTATGTATTTTAAATCGAGGAATAAAGATGTAACCAAAATAGTGTAAAATAATATTATTCAATTGATACAAGAAAAAATTCTATTTAAGTTTATTCTAAACTATATTTAAGCTATCTATTTAATTGTTTCTGAAAATGATCTAATATGCAATTATTGTATTGAAATTTTCAGCTTCTACTTTAGGTGCAGCTATTACATTACCAATTTGTGGTATAGTAATTTCTGCATGGGGATGGGAGTCCGCATTCTATATCACGGGACTAGTAGGTCTTGCATGGTCCACTTTGTGGTTTAATTTAGTTTTCGAGACACCTGCCGATCATCCTAGAATTACCGAATACGAAAGACATTATATTGAAACAGAAATCGCCAAGCAAAGCAAACCTGGTACAAAGGTAATAATGAGGCACAATTAATATTTGTCCTAGAATATATGCAACAACATAAAATCAACGATTTGTCACATTGATCAATATTAAGTATTTTTTTTAAAAATACGTTATAATTTGTGTATATATATATTATAATGTGATATAAACGATAACAATATAATATAATGATACAATGAATTTTATATTATGTTGATACCTACAGTTAGATTTACCTATCAAGCTCATACATACTATTTTATGAAATTTTATTTTGTAGACCACAAAATAGTTGAAATTTGAATAACACAGATTATATTTGTGTCATCAAATTTATTAAAACTGATAAGAATGGTATTATACTGTAGAACGTCATGTTCACAAAAGTTTTGATTCAACCCACTTAAAAAACGTTTAAATTATAATAATATTGTAATTTATAAGATTTTATTGATTTTTCGTATATTATGTATTTTTATTTACAGCCAAAAAAACTGCCATGGATACAAATACTTACGTCATTGCCTGTGTGGGCCATCGTTATTACACACGGAGCTAGTGTTTTTGGTTACTTTACTATTGTCAATCAGTTACCTACTTACATGAAGTATTTACTTCATTTTGACATTAAATCGGTAAATATAATATATATATATATATGATAAAGAATAAATATGATGTTTTATTCTTCATGTTTATTCTTAATTTGTGATATTATTAAAGTTTAGAATTGAATAATACATTTATCGTTATTACAATTTCAGAATGGTTTTCTATCTAGTCTCCCTTATTTGGGTAAATATTTGATGGCGTTGTTAGCTGGAATAATTGCTGATCGTCTACTAAATTCTGAAAAAATATCCAAAACAATGACCAGAAAAATCTTTACTTTTATCGGTAATATTCCTTTAAATGATTTTATTCTAGAATCCTGCATACGTTCTTACTTGTTATAACTTTATCGCGATTTTGAACTCGAGCTGAAAAAAATACAACATTTTAATTTACAGGAGTATTTACGCCTGGCATTTTGATGATCCTACAAGTGTACTTTGGAAATAACCAAGTGTGGTCAGTAATGATATTCACTATTGCATTGACGTTGAACGGAGCAGTGACTGGTGGTTATCTGGGAAATGGTTTGGATATAGCTCCTAATTTCTCTGGTACATTGTGATAACTACTTACAGCTCGCCAAATAATTATAATGTAACGGCATGAATGTGAAATAACCACTCTATTATTTTAGGCACAATATTTGGAATGGCAAATACATTGTCTTCGTTCGGAGGGTCCTTGTCGTCGTACTTGGTGGGAAAACTAACGAACAACAATGTAAGTAGTATACATGCGCATTAAACACTAAATTACGATTTACTGACATTTCAACACGCCTGTAAATATAATATAACATTTTACATGTACTTGCAGCAAACATTTGAGCAATGGTGCATTGTATTTTGGATTTTGGCTGGGACTTACATGTGTGGTGCTATAATATTTTTGGTATTTGGAACGGCAAAAACGTTATCGTGGAATTCCGGACCAAGCGCTGCAGAGGAACCAAACGGTATTTCAACGAACGATTCGGAAGCGATGAAACCGTTGAAAAATTCTTCAAGTTCTTAGTGGCTTAACAAAGATCGAGTCTTTGAAACAAAGACAAACAAAATATTTAACGACCATTGTGAATGAAATGTACAGATTACGATTTTTCTTCTTACACATTGTATATACGACGTTGACGTTAGTATTTATTTATTTAAATCTTAATATCTAACACTTGATATCAAGTGAACAATTATATAAAATTATACACATTGATAAACATTATGAAGAGACTAATATATAAAACAATTTTTTTTTTATAAAAAATATTTTGTTTTTACTGCGCTGACATTTATTTATGAATTATTATAATATCTGATACACGTATAACTGCAGTAACAATGAAGAATAAATTACGGCCAACGCTTAGGAATTTCATCTTTAATTTGGACGAATCCAACCAAACGGTTATAAAGAATTAATAACGAGATGAAGGTTCCGGTTGGAATCTTTTTTCGATTGCGAAGCATGTCGAGGGCTCAGACCTGTTGTCGTCTTTATGTATTCAGTTGGACTTTTATTTATTGTGTTTCCAAAATCATTATTTATCAAGTGCTTAATCAAATAGACATTCATATTTAAAAAAATGTATAAATCAATTACAAAATGTTTACTTATAAAGTACCTATTTAGTAGGTGTGGCAAAACTTTTTTTGGTTAAGTTCTACTGAGAATATAGTTTTCCTTTGAAAATCGACTCAAGTAAAAAAATTTTTTTTATTTACAAGCCTTTTTTACTACAACTATTAACTATAAACATAATTAATTATTAAAATATAACGTTATATACAGCCGAGTATTTCACATTACATTTCTCAATAATTTCAAAATAAATAAAATAAACATCATACTGTTGGCGTAGAAATGCTTCATTGCAATATGATTTGCTAATTGATTATAATCTGGGGAGTAGTCACTGACTGCTAAACGAAGACGCTGCTATTAATATCGTCAGAAAGTGTTCAGTAAATAGCTTTTATAAGTTTCATGTGAAAAGATTCCATTTCACACAAACAGATTAATTTGAAATAATATGCATGAAACTGCAGTGTCTACTAAATGTATAATAATAAGTTTTAACAAAGAGGGATCGACTTGAAACCGTCCGAGATCGACCACGATCAACCGTTTGGCTACCACTGGTATAATGTAGCTTATTATAGAGTATACTGGTATCTATGATTATCTAAATGTAGAACCTATGTATATATGTCAGTTTTAGATATTTAATTTGCAAGCTGATTTACCATTTTCTATTTCGTATAGTTTTCAGAATTTCACTATTTCAGGGATCTATTATGGTGTCGTTATCAGATTATCCAACTAATAAATAAGTAAGTAGCAAAAATAATAAACATTTTTTTGTAGTTTTATCTTTCTAAAAGATAATAGTTTTGATATGATGTTGACATGGGTACTAGCGAATTAATAGAAAAAATTAACTAACATAAATATTGTAATCTGTAATAATAATGTAGCACTGTACCATTATATCAGTATTAATAATTGATAATAAGCAGTTATAAATTTAACAAAAACATTACAATGACGTTGTAATGTACCTACCTATACCACATACAATTATACATATACTTATATATTATTTATATGTGATAATATGTTTTGAAGAGAAATTATAATAATTTATACTGCTCATACTATTCAAATGAGTTCAAACCATTTCTTGCAAAGCTTAAGGTATATAACTGTTTTCCGAACGCAATGATTCAAATTCGAAAAAAACATACTTTATTACTCGTATACTAGACAATAATATGATGTATTTTATTTAATGTTGCCAGGTGTATTATTATTTTTGACGCTATGGTAATTGTTTCTAGTTTGGTTTGTGTTATGAGTTAGGTATGACACAATATAAGCACTATTCCACCAAGCAGGAACACTGGACTTGACCTAATTGTACAGTGTTTAGTAAATTTGAATGTACTTATTTTTAAAGACTTTACAATAAAATAAATCTCGAAAAGATTTATCTATTCAAACTTGAATAACAATTACAATTTTGATGACCATTTAACCACGCAGGAAGCTAAGAAGATTGAAAACAATATTACTTTTATATATTAAATATGATATCATTATAATAATTAAAAAATTATAGCTATTAACTTTGATACATTTTAAATTGTATTTTTTGTAATACATATTATGTATAAACGTCGAAGCTTGAAAATTAAATTCCTAATTTGTACAGCGATATTATTAAAGCTACCTAACTTTTATAATTAGTAAAAATGTTTCCTTCTATAAAAGTTATATCATTATTACATATTATTATGGGTAGGCTTAGTATTTTTAGATTTTTCTCCATTATTCGGTGTATTATTTACTTATATTTATCTGGTCGTCACCGTATCCTACGTTATAACATAACAAATATAATCATTACAATTTACGATAATCTTAAACAAACTAAATAATTACCTGTAATTTGTATTCGTTTACTTCAGACCATCAAAGCAAAATGAAGTAAGTATATGTAAATGGAGGTGTTAACATTTTAAAGGTTTTTCTATTTCTAATCACTGCAATCGATAAAAACAGGGTGATGATATTTTCCGGACTTACCAACAGTATAGTATTGTATAAGAAAAAAAAAAGAAAATGACATAATTATAATGATATAATAATAATATTGATAATTTTGATCGGCTTAAGTCACCGTGTAAACGGTTTTCGACAGTATGTTCTGGTTGAGGTTTTCCGACAAGGGTTCTTCGTCGATGGGGTTCGGGCCGGGGCCCAAGTCCACCGTCGTCTTGTTGCCTTGCACCGCCTGCAGCCCGACCCTGATGCTCTCCAGCGCCTCGCCCAGCCCGACTTTGATCTCCTTGAACTCCTGCGTGACCAGGGACAGGCGTCCGAGCAGGTAGTTGAGGTTCTCGTCCACCTCTGTCATGCGGCCTGCGATCGCCGACACCTTTCCGTTCATGCCTTCCACCGACGTGGCCGTGCTGTTGACGAACATGTCCGTTTGCCGCTGGAGCGTGGCCAGCGTGGACGCCGAGTCGGTGAGCGTCTGGTACATGATTCCGATCTGCCTCCACACCTGGCTGATTTCCGTTTCGATCTTGACGCTCAGGTTGGCCATGCCCACGGACTGCGCGTCCAGCACCGTCTTCACCGCCCGTTCCAGGCCGGCGTTCACCGAATCGTTCAGCTCCTTGGACCGGTCGTTGATCACCGCGGTCACTTCCATCAGTATCTGGTGCGTGCCGTACTCGATTCTCCGCTTCGTGTCCAGCACGTTGTCCGCCGTCTGCACCAGTACTTTCTCCACGTCCGATAGTGTCTTAACTTCGTTCGACATCAACCGGAAGCTGTTCTGCACGTCGTCTTGGAACGCGGCGGCCGACTCGGCCACTACCGTCAATTTGGCGTCCGACGCAGCGCGCTTCCGCTCGCTGTCGTCTATCCGGTCCGACAACGACTTGACCGCCTCCATGACCACGTGTCTGGTCTCCTGTACCAGCTGAGATGTGGCGTTTGCGGGCTCTGATACCGTGTCGCTGTTGCGGGAGCTCTGGTCGATAATTTTGTTCAGAAGTTCAAAGATAACGTCGTTGGTTACATTGGACTTGGGAGCCTGTTCCAGAGAATCAAATCGGGACTGTAACGCACTAATCTGTTCTGTCATAGTGGTCAGCTTGTTGTCGAACGACTGGTACAGTTGGTTTGAGGACTTTTGTTCCGTTTTCAACATAGACTTGACTTCGGCTTCACCAGAAAGGATGAGCTTGTCCAATTTCTCCAACATAGCTTTCATGCTTTCTCTATCGGCAGCCTGAAAATAAAATTTAAATTTGTCAACATGACGAATTAATTTCAATTCCAATTACAAAATGGATAAACATTAACATAAAATATTTTTTCGTTTTGGGTTTCCTGCTAAAGGGACGCTCCAATTCTAGATAAAGTTTTTTTAGGCAACGAATTGTAATTTTTCAACGAAGCGCTTATCGAGGCGGTGAAACAGTTTCCAATATTTTCATTTTATTTAAAAAAATAAAAGGCTTAAAATAATGTAAATTAAATCCATTACGTTTTTGCTTTTTATTTCACCATTTGGTTTTTATTTTAATTAATTCACAATAAATTATCCTTTCCACTCTATTATTCTCACGAGCTTCTTAATAATGAGGACTCTAATTTCGGAATTAATACTTAAATTTAGATAGCTATCGTATGATTAGTCATTCTATAAATATATTTGAGTAGGTATTATTATAAAAAATTGTAATTATTGCGCCTTTGACTGTTTATGGTATAAAAATCGAATTTTAATAGTTTTATTTACATTTTGGCCCGAAAAATATCACTAAAAAATAATAATATTTTATGGTCAGTGGTATTTTAAACTTAAAAAGATATCGGTGTTGTGCCGAATCGTGCATTTATCGATGTGCAGAATAATTTTGACATCGATAGAGGATAATATTCTCTAATAGTGTGTAGTGCGTACGTCTTTTCGTTAGGTAAGTTTCTCACCTCCTCTGTTTCTGCTCTCGTCAATGCGCTCAAGCTCTCCTCCAATCCTTTGATGGCCGTCTCGAGCTCCTTGTCTTCTACGTATTGTTCCCTCTGCTTGTTCACGATCGTCAACAGCATATTTTGCATTTGATCACCCGATTGTTTTTCACGCCTTTCGTGTCGCTCCAATTTGTCCACGTTATCGCGTAACGAGTGAGCGAATGAATATATTGCCGTTCTGATGTCTTCGTGCCTATAAATATTTATTTATTGATTAATATACAGACATATTACTTTAAGATTTAGAATATTGTCAACGGCGAAAAGGCCAAGACTTGTGTGACACACTAGATTGCATTTTTCAGGAATGACTGTAATTTTGTTAATATGGACATATGGTTAAATGTTAATAATGATTTAGTAGCGTTGATTTAAATTTATATCCAAAAAACGATCTCAGGGATACGTTATTAGAAATGTGTATTTATTATCTTTATTCATTGGGGCAAACTCCCATACGGGGTCATGTACCTACAGTAGAATCGATATTTCTAAAATTAGTGCACTCGCTATAACATAAGTTCATATTATTATGTAACAAAACAAAGAATTATAAAGTAGTACATTAGTAATTTAGATTAAGTGAAAAAAATAATAGAAGTAAAACTTACAAAATAAAATTACCTATAAGATATAATATTAGTGATGTACATCAAATGACTGAAAAGCCCTGATTAGAAGGATACAATTCTCCCATATTAAAAAACAATAAAAAATATTAAAATTATTACATTCTCTGGCTATACGATCGATAGGATTATGTATAGGCAATAACGCGATTGATAATTTATCAGTTGCTGTATCGGTCAAAATCACTATTTCGTCGGTGGTGCGATATATACGTCTTTATATGGCCATGTCATAATTTTGCCTTTCCACCGCCGTTATAATGTATTATATTATTACATTCGTCGCGACTTCAACGAATGGAAAAATATATTCTATTGAGAAATACACCAAAATGCACAAAATATTATACTCACGTGGCATCTTGGGCGGCGAACGCAAATTGGAAATCTACGACAACCAACAGCCACAGATAAACAGTAAAAGTGACGGTTTTCGACCACATCGTGTCACTGTAATAATAATATAATATAGTATTGTCTTAATGGAGTTCCGATGACAATATTTCGGAACGGATCGCGAGCGACTAAAACCGAACGTTTTATCTCGGAATAAATGCTCTCGTTTCCATTGTCCCCCGGACGAAATACAAATAATATAATTTATGTGTGTGAATGTTAAATGTTTGTAAATCAATATTATTGAGAGTGTGATAAGAACCCACGATCCGTCGGGTTCCGTTTCAGAGCGGAAACGCGTTGATGATAGTCGTGGCGACTGGGCGACGTGCGACCGATAAGTATAAATACGACAAAAATATTGAGCCATCATAAGTAATACAACTAATAAGTAACAGTGTTTTACATACTTATAGGAATGCTCTGAACGAAATCAAAATCGAAAATATTTTCGAACGTATTAATTTAGTTTTGACGAGTAACACGTCGTAAATAATTGTATATTATGACATGTCGCATTGTTGTTTTGAGGTCTATAATTATTGTTAATTATAATTAATCATAGGAGGCTGAATATTCGTTTAGCTTGGTTTTTTTTTCTGAAACATTTTGTTTTAAGCCGTTACGTGAAATAGGTCAACACATTATTTGAGTGAATTTTTTAATAACTTGTACCGACGGTAGTTGTACACTTGTACGAGTGGGTTTAATAACAACGAATAGCAAGCTACCCTTACCTCAAATAGGCGGTACATAAAATGATTGATTTTGTATTTAAAATCTTATCCCCTGAAAACTTTGAAAATACGTCATAATGCTTTAATACTCTTATATTTAATTAAAAATAAAAAGTTCAATGTCCTGCGATGTTCATTTCCTACGAATGCATACTGCACAGTTTAGTGTTATTGATTATAAAGTAAAAGTCTGATAATAAATTATTATAGAATGACAAATATTATATTATTACATATTATTCAAATTTTACGTTATCAGAATATTTTATATAAGTTATGTAACCTATGCCTAATCAATGCTATTCATTATTATGGAAAAGAAAAACTAATGGCCTTAGCTGCTGAAGTTTAATTGGATAAAATAAAAATATTATCTAAAACAATCATTAAAAAAAATGTTACCTATTTGTTATTTTTTTTTAAATTGTTTCATGTTTCTAATTGCTATATTAAAACTGAAATAATATACTTACACGTTTCTTGAAATTTCCATAAATGCTGAAAAATGAACCCATATGCAGAACTCTAACATACAAACAAATTTTTTTTTTCATTTTTTCAAAAATAAACTGTTTGATTTAGGATCCAATATTACTTACACAAAACCGACGTCTTCGTGCATTAGTGGTATAGTAAAATGTAAAATGCAATTGTTTTGATGCTTATGACAAACCATTTCAAGAATTAATACTATTAATTGATAACTATATACGTACTATTCTAAACTGCAATTACAGTAACGATCGCTAACCCCGCTATGTTACAAAACATGCACTGTGTAAGGCAAGGTAAATAATTAATATATTTACGTTTCTTCATTCTTATTTTTCAATAATATAATATAATATAATAGATGATTAAACGATTCGAATGCTCTCGTATATTAAAAAGCCATTTATTCGGATACAAAGTGCGAGGCCAAACTACTAAGTTGTATTAAAAAATCAAAACATAGAAATAAAGTAAATATATATATATATTATACATAGGTACAAATTATTTAAAAAATATAACCAATATCATTCTCACAATAATTAGGAGCAGCCCTTTTTTATTTGGACATTTGTCTTTAAAAATAACAGCGTATTATTAGCTTTATTTTTTATAATACTAATATAATTACTAATATAATATGTTTCCAGAAAAGTGGTGAAAATGAGTGTTCAGTAAAAACCGTTTGATGCGGAATCGCAAAGGACCAGCCAAATAAAATATTGTTATTGGTATTACATATTATACGTATAGTTATTATATTATGTGTAATGTATTAAATATATTATTCATGTCTTGGGCGTCTTTACAGTCCAATATGTTGGTATTGAATCCAAAAACAAATATGGTTATTCTATCGAGTTAAACAAGACTTAAAGTAATTATATTTGAATAATCATATCGTAGGAAACGAACTTCAAAGTTCAAAGCACGACATTGTAGAACAAATTAAAATAAATCAGGCCAAATATTAGCATTTTCGTGGACGGGTTTTTACGTAACCGCATTATTTAAATTATTTATATTTATTCATAATTCCATTGCATTATTCCACATACCTATATCGTAGTGTATGTGTTATGGACATTTTGCCAAATAATATTTGATTTACGTTTTGGCACATAGTTATTTTATCGTGGGTACAGATACTCATTAAGTACACTACAAAAAAATATTGTTTTTGAAAAATGTACAATATTATACATTACTATGGAGAATGGATAATGTTTATTGGTTGGATATATTTAATGTCTAAACACGCGCTAAACTGATCGTATATATTTCAATTCAAATAATGTATTCATAATGCGTATTTGGAAATAATATTGTTAATAATGAGCTTGTAGTACGTAGGTCGTACCTACATCTCACCGATCTGTATAAGTTATACCCTGCTATATTAGATACCAACTATGTGGACTAAACGAGAATACTAAGCTTGGAGCTATACCTAGGCTGTACCGGCAATACCAGACAACTAATCTGATTTTATTTCTGTGTTTAAAACACATTTGGAGATGAATGAACACCATCATCCATACGGATTTAAAATTGACACTGGTTAGATTTTAAGTAGGTCATTTTTTAAACGTTTTGGTAGTTTTCCAGAAAATCTATATTTTTTTTAAAACTAAACCTTGATCATTTTTTGGGTAGGTTCACACCGAACTCCACACAGAATCATATTTTCAATTCAACTATTTATCATTTGTTCTTAATGTAAGGGCGCCGCTGAGGTACCCTCAGGGGACAGTCGTACTAGAATTGATCAAAAAAGAAAATAACCAGGTAGATGAAACGATTATTTTGCTCCAAGCTTAACAACTTCAATTAAATGTTTATACCTGGTATATGGTTACGACTCATACATAAATTGTCTTTAAAGAGTTTAGACTATGTTTTCAGTAAGTATTTACAGTCTTATTACATTTTATTATGTACCTACGCACATATTATAACAATTTCTATCACAGAACTCGTTCGTCTGTATAATATATAATAGGTTGTGTATTGACCAATTGAGTAGGTCTAATCATCACAGTGACTTATCAATCCAGTTAATACTTCATTGACCATGCAATACTAATAGTTAAGAGTCTATTGACAGAGAGTTAACTTTAATTGTAGTTGGTCTTTCTACCATACTTTAATTTACAAATTTCTACGGTACACCTATATACTTTCAAAAATTGCACACCTCAAAACGAACAACTAAATGTTTCACATCTTTTTTTTTTTAATGTGTTCAATATTAATTTTGTATGTCGATAGTCCTTTAATGCAATGACTTAGAGGGATTTATGGATTATATAAAATATGTAACATAAAATGTAATTATTTTAAATTCCGAGAAGAGTGATAAATGTATTAGTTTTACAATGTTGTGTTCAAATGTTGAAAAAATTGGATATTTAAATTACGAAACTATACTAATACTACGAAACTATTCACACATTTCCGTGGAATTTCGGTATTGACTTACAATGTAGGTATATGAAATAATATTTAAAAAAATATTATTATATGCAACATGCGATATGTTTTTGGCAACATAAATATACAATAAAATATTCTTAGAAATATTGGCCACAGCGCATAGTCATTATTCGTATGCAATAATTTATCGTTCAATTTAAATTTGACACTGCATCTATTACAGTGACCTACTTAATGACGATAGATACACTCGACACCTACTATATCTACAGCAATACGGTTTTCCCGGTTTTTAAAAAATGATTACACACGATTAACGAGATGTAATTAGAAAATTAATATTATTTTTCTAAATTGTGGTATACGATACCATCCTAGCAGTTACCTATTATATCCATTCTTAACCTACCTATTAAGTTCGATTTGGTATGGAAGTAAAAATAATTAGCAGCTAATGTTGTCTAGATAATAATTCGAATACGCACGAATGATAATTAATCAAACTAATTTTTATATCATTATTATTAGGACTAATGTCTCATAATAAATTATCTAATTATGTTACAAATTATAATGAAATAAATGCTTAGGTGTATGTATTATATTATAATAGTAATTTAAATATCCATAATATCTAATTGTTTGAAATGTGAAACAAAATATTCGTGATCCAATACGCAACATATACGTATACCTATTAAGGTAGTGTATTTGATCAGCGATAAGTGTATTTGATAAAAATAGAAATAAAAATAAAAATGTGTACATATACAAGCGTACTTATTATAATATAACATACCTACGACGTTGTGTAATATTGGCAATATTTCTGCAAGAAATTAACGATATTTTTCCTGTTTGTTATATGCATATTATAAAATATAAACTATGATCTGAATGGAATGCAAAAAACAAATTGTGATAGGTAGTAAACCATTAAAATAGGCTTACACCCCAAGCCCCAATTGGTTTCATACAATTAATATTGGATCATGCAATGTGCCTATATTATACCTCTTTACAAGTGAAAATTATTAACGACTTTTATTTTATTATTCAATGGAATAATTTTGGTGTGTGACACGATCATTTAGCATAATACTTACACTCAAATAATAATATTGAATATCTAGATTATGCCACTACAGTTGGTATATAGTATATACGATAGTACTGAACAAAAAAATCAATGAGTTTTTATAGTTACATACTGACATTGAAGTAAGATATCAAACATAAGTAGGTACCTACAGTGTTTTTCAACAAAAGTATAAGTTTCCACTATCAATGCTTAAATAGCTTAGATCGAGTTCACAAAAATACCTTATTACGCAGTCGGAGTTTAAAACAACGAAAAAACAGAAAAAAAAAATAAACGAACATTAGAAATATTATTCATACATTTCTAATTAGTCTACACCTATACTGTATTGTAAGTGTTTACATGTTATTAAAATAACAGCGTGTTAATTTAATTTTCATCAATTAATCAGTCATAGGTACACGTCTTGTACATTAGTTTAATGTGTTTAAATTAATATTCATACGATAGTAACTACCTACTACTCAATGATCACAATCATACGGGCTGCAGTATAATATACCATTTACATAACAATCAATTGCACACATGATAAACGAGAATATATTGTGGCCTGAAGTAGGTACAAAGAACTTAAATAATACATTACATATTTTCATATCATAAACCAATAAACTAAAGTCAAATCGAATTATATGAAGGAGCAAAGGCCAATGTCTGCATACTCTACTACGAAAATATGTAACAAAAGTGTTGTGCACAAGGTGACTTTTTCACCGAAACGTTTAAGAGTAGGTAGGTATAGACGGTATAGTTTACTTTATATTTTTTTGTTGAACATTGGCCATTCAATACATTTCTAATATCTATTACTATCCCGCGTTTTAGATTTTGATGCCTGAACAAAGCGAGGAATGTATTATTGGGTTGATAATGATGTGTGTGTGTGTGTGTGTGTGTGTGGAAAAAACTAACAAAAGTTGGTGGGCAACGATATAATTTACGGTAAACCAGATTTCGTCAAAATCGATTTTTTTTTGTAAACCAAAACTTTTCGATTTTTATTTGAAATTTTTAGTTCATTAAATAAGGGCCTTATTAATTATAAATATAACCGTTGTAACAAGGCAATACTATTGTTAATTTACTATAATCATAAAAATAAACAATTTTTTGGTTTTATTATTTTATAACGACTGTCTAATGTATATCGTGTACATGTATTTTCAATACACTTTTATGCGATCTGTGACAACTCAACAACAGAAATATTTAATCAACTGCTATTTATTAAATACCTACAAAATATAACTTTTATTTCGGTGGGAGAGTAGTTGTGGGATTTTCTTTGTTAAAACGAACAATAGGGCGTTTGGATTTAAAATGCAATTCATTCGTCAGTTAATAAATTACTTGTATGTGCTTAAAATTTCTACAGTTATAAATCGTTTTTTGTTGAACATTGGGATCATGCACACTGCACAGGTTTCTTATGAAAATTATTAATTGATAATTATTGAAATATTTAAAAAGGTGCATTCTATGACATTTTGTGTCCCGAATGCTGAATTAGCGGTAGTTGTTACTGTTATAACAAAAATGCAATAAAATAAGATGTTTTATATTAGTATCCACATACATACATGTCATTGTCATATTGTTAAAAAATACATTGGTTTGAAATCTGTGTAAACTGTAAATATTATTGCAAAATATGTAAATAAATACCTATTCATTATTGTGTAATTATGTAAAATGCGTTGTTTATAAATTAACTTAGTAGTTTTTATATTATTATGCATTTTAGCTGTGTATAACTATATCTCCAATTTATTTCCCAGTTTTATACCTTAAAAACTAAATGAATATACAAGCGGCACTCAAAATGTTTTTAGACGAATCATTTAAAGGTGAGAATATATTCGTAATATTATTTGAAATGTAATTAATTAGTTTCAATAAGAGTTTCTGTAAAATATAGTTCTAGTAAATCGATATAAAATTATTAGCTACCTAATGGTAATTTAATACAATAGTTATTAATATTTTAAGAGGAGATCCGAGATTATAAAAAACACCATAGTTTAAAATGATGTGTTGAGCAAATTCTTAAGTGGGTAATTTTTTTGTGTTTTTGAACTCCATTGCTACAAAATACAAATTATTGTTTTTAAGTTTTCAATCATAATATTATTGTTTTGTTTAGTCAGATGTTTAAATCATAATAGTTCAACAGGTGTTTTCAGTTAGGCAGCTATTATGTGTTACCTATTTGACAAGAAAGAATTATTAAGATTTTTTGTGAATTTCGGTCACATCTGTAAGTTGATTGTTTAAAATAAAGATAAACAAATCAGCAAGGAAATAAGAAAACTATAGACAAATACGATTAAACATTACTCACCAGTAGTATGAGTATAATATGTATATATGCCCGCATAGCTATATATACATATATAAATATATATATGTTAACTCACGATTTGAACAATAATGAGTAATAATAAATATGTAATAGCAGGTTTTGTCTTGTAGGGCTGAAATTTCAGGAATAAAATAAAATAATAACATCATTAAATGTTTAAAAAAACAATTATATTGTTCTAATAAAATAATATTTAAAACCAACAACGACGAATACGCCCAATGTCGATCATTATTTAAATACGCGTATGGACCAGTTGACATTGAACGTGGTCTGGAGCGCTCTTGTTGTTGTTTTTTTATTCGTCCTCCTATAAAAGCCCGGGGCAACTATGAATTCAAGCTCAAATTATATTTCTCGCACTCTCTGCTAAAATGAAATCTTTGTTGGTAAGTGTCTACCTGCAAAAGCCGATCGCATGTACACGTTTTATATTATTATTATAATTACCGAAACCGCAATTATTCATAAATTTAGTATTGTATTAAATAAATTATTTCATTAAATATCAATAATAATGAAATTATATTATGTATTACTATCATTTACAGGCAAAATCCGTTGTGTTCTTCTTAGTACTTACGAGGTCGAGATGTGCTCCTGGAAGATTAGGTACCATCGATCGATTTATTCCAGACTTCACCGTGACCGACGACGACGATGAGTTTTATAAGATTTCAACGGACGAGTCGGAAGATCATACTTGGAGCTACTACGAAGACGACGTTACTGACTCGACCCAGGACGACGTTACTGACACGACCCAGGATGACGTTACCGAACCGACCACGAATGAAATACCTCTGGAAAGTCTAATGGCTCATATCGATCAGCTCGCCGGACAGGGTAATGGTACTACCAAAGGACAGTACGTGTACACGGACAAGACAGGCAGTTCCGTAACGGTCGTGTACGTTGCGGGTCCATCGTCATCGCTCGCAGCGTACACTGATGGTGAATGAAAACTCGGTGCATTGTTGTTGTTATGTTGTTGTTTTTTTTTTTGTTATTGTTGTTTCATAGAATATGTTTTGTGTTTCGGAGCATTACTTATCGAAAATCGAAATCGACGTCCAAAACCGTATCAACAATTTTCAATTGTAAAACGTTTGTATGTAGGTAACTAATAATTTCGACTTGATGACGATTTTGACGGATAAGCATCCCGAAACCATATTCTATGAGCGATAAGTATTTATTTATGTGTTTTCGGAAAGACAGAAATAATTAGATTGTACGATATTATATTTTATATAATTGTTTTATTAATTTTTTTGTTTAACGTGGACTAGTCTTTAATAATATATAAAAACAAATCGATTGAAGAACAATATTTTACAATTAGTATTTTGCTTAGGGCTTAGCTAAAAGTGCGCATCAGTTTTGACTGAACGTGTAGCTGAAACCGTCTGGAGATCTGTTCAAGTTGAATTTGCCGGAAGCGTGGTTGACGTTGTATGACGTGGGTGGTGGGGTCGGGGCAGAGTTCCATTGGTTCCATTTGGCAGTGGTTGGGATGGAGTTCCATTGGTTCCATTGACTGTGTTTTGGCGCCGCAGTCGATGGAGCGGAGTTCCATTGGTTCCATTGGCCGTCGTTCGATGATTCTGAACTCCATTGGTTCCATTGGCCGTCATCATACTTTGCTGCTTCAGCGTCTGAGCTCCATTGGTTCCATTGGCCATCATCGGACTTCGATGCTGCGTCTGAGCTCCATTGGTTCCATTGTCCGTCGTCATTCTTGGGTGCTGGTTCGGCGTTCCATTGGTTCCATTGGTTTGGGACTGCTGGAGCTTGAGACCTAAAATAAATTCGAAATAAATTTAAAAATGGAAAAATCACGTTTCGGCTTAAAGTTCACCATAGATAGAGGTCAACATAATTTAATAATATACGAGCAGTTTAATAATTCCAGTATGTAATGGAAAACTCGTGTTGTACCTTTAGGTATTGTCGTTGTTTGACGGCCTATACAAATCGAGGACCCGCGGTTTAGACTTTTAATGCATCATAATTGTGGTGGACAATTATAACAATCCGTGTCCAACCAAATAATAAAATCGTAATTATTTGTTAAGCATATAAATATTATAATATATGTCAAGACCATCGTTTACTGTTAGAAATAATAACAAAACCCACAGCGGAGTAAAAATGTATTATAATACATATATATACGTCGTATCCATCCACTATTATTTAGGAATAATACTATATTGTTTAATATCCGGCTAAAAATGTGTAAAAAAATAATCGTATACGCCTGTACAGTCGACGGTTAATTTCATATACAGGTAGGTAGTCGAACGCGTATCGAAATTATATATTTTATAAAATTACGAACGGAAAGTGCAAATAAAATATGAGTATAATATTGGGTACAATCGGGTAAATTGTTTTAAAAATAAAACACTGTCTAAACCCACCGAGTGTCAACTATATGCTGTTGTACCACCAAGACCTACACACACGCGCACACGGCACACGCACACCCAACCTGGTAGCGATCTCGATCTCAGACCTCATCTATATCAGTTATTTTTAGAACTGTGCAGCGGTCGACTCGACGACCGTAGAAGTCCCCCGTTGTCGCGAGCAACAACAAACAGCAACTATTGTGGAAACAAGCATTATTTATACTCAAAGAACTGCAATGACTATAACAATAATTAAGCGTCATTAGCCGAGATAGACGACGCTCGTAATAATGTATTGACCGTGACTGCGACCGGCGGCGTATACGGTATAGAAATTTGAAAGAAAAAAAATTGCGCCGAGTGCAGCCCTAACCCAACCGCAGCCGGTCTACTTATACTACGACCCTTGTCGGGAAGGGGTGGAAAAGGGACTGTGGGTGCACTCACCATTGGTCTTGTTGCCATGAACCCGACTTCGGTGCGGGTACGGCGTGGGCAGCGGGCACTGGGACCGGTGTCGGGGCTACTGGCAAGTGATCGCCGGTGGCCTTGAAACCGTCCTTGCCGGCTGTGTAGCTGACCGTGCGCCTCTGGCCGTTGGGGTCCACGTAACTGTAAGAGCCTCGTCTGTTACCAGAAGCGTCCGACTCTTCCTTGAACTCCACACCGTCACCCTGCGTGTAAGCGGCGCCGAACTGACCGTTGTTGGACAGGTACCGGGCGTCGGTCAGTATGGCGGCGTTCTGCGGGGCGGAGGCTGCCAACGCCACCAACGTCAACGCCATCGAGACAAATACCTGCAATCGTCATGGTATGCGGTGTAAGAACGGTGGTCACAAAATAATAATAAGAGGTCGGGACGCGGACTTTCGAGCATTCATTTTTTAAAGGACTTTTATCGATTTCCGAGTCTTCGAAATAGCATAGGTGCACACGTAGGTATACGACAAAAGCCGTACAAGACCCGACTTGAAACTTAAAAAATACGCACCACATAGTGAAATCATAGAATATTTCTCGGCGTGTGTGTATCGTAGGCAAGAAAACTGCATCTTAGTATTATCGTTGTATCGTATTGACGCGTTAATAGGTGTATTTTAAAAAAATTTTTAAACTCTATCGACTAGATTTTATTACATTAAATATTATACTATAACGCGCTTAAAGCAGCGACAGACGAGAATAGTTTGCAGTGTTCATGAAAGTACTAGCATCAAACTTTTGCATAAGACAAATTGAGCTATAGAGTTCTAGCTAAAATATGATCGGTCATTTCCAGCGTTTTTTTTTTAAATATTTAACTAAGGATATTTTTATGAAAAAATGATCGTCGTACAATATGAGATATAACTCAGTAGTTTTATCGATCTTACGAAGTCTCTATTCAAATGTATTTTATACAGACACCGCGGAGCTTAAAATGTATAATACTAATATATAGTTGTATTATAGTGTTATAAAATGTGGGTACTTACGACAAATCGGCTCATGATTTCTTCAATATTGTCTTGTGCTACGGCAACTAGAAAACGAGAACTGTACTGTCTGGTGTTTGTGGATAGCGTATTTATAAAAGATCGTCGCCCGAGTCCTGATTGCCTTGCATTGCGCTTTGCGAGCAAGGTTAACGGATACGCCCTAAGGAACCGAAGATAATGGAGGGAAACATTATCGATGTAAAATTAAATAATAATAATCATAGAATAAAAAAAAATCCGATCGTTCCATTTACGTAGTGTTTGACTTCCTGGGCGAATTATGCTTAACCTGACCAAAACGAGATCAATCCAAACGGGTAAATATAATATGTGATGGTGATTGTTAATATGAATTTTTTGAAGGGCAACGAATGCCTGAAGTGTACGAAAAAATTCCTCGAGACGTGTTTTTATTTTTCATTATTTCATGGGCGTGCCCCAAAGAGTGCATCGGCTGAGTCGCCACCGTGTGCGTGGGTAGTAAGCGAGTGTGTTATTGTTTAGTAAAATTACATTTCTAAATGTATTCGTAACTTATGATTATTATGGTTATTTATTATTATTTATATTGCACAATTTATTCGATAAATACTCGTCCTAAGTCTGGCGCCAGTTGTATGAGTACTATAATGTACGTAGCCAATGATATTATTATCTAAAAAAACAACAAAAACACAAAAATGTGAGTTGGTCAAAATTTAAATATCAACACATCTACCACAATTTCTATACAAATATCAAAAAATAATGTGTGCATAGACAATTTCCGATTACTCAATGACAGTGAAAGTTCATACAATAATGTAATAGGTAAGTGCATATGTACTTATTCTATAGGTATTAAAACGTAAACTTTATAATTGTATATTTATATAATAGGTATGTCTATAAAACGTGGAGTACTGCAGTAAATAAGTTTTGTATTCATAAATTATAAATGCATTATTGTTTCGATAATGTCTACACAAGTAATTGAAGATAAGTACCCTCAATAATACGTCTCACAATATCACAGATGCTTAAGTTTATTTTTAGAGAAATATAATTACTATGTCTTAGAGCTTAAACTATTTCATTATTTCAATATCATGTTGGTTTTTAATCATACATGTTTGGTAAACTACATAAAATGATCATAATATAATATCTACTTATTTCATCATCTCGTGGAGTTGTAAACCCAAGAATTAAATATGCATTATATGCTTACAAAAACTTGAAAATATTTAATTTTAGTGATTTAGTGTCTATTTGCCAAATGTTGACATTGCCATTTAATGTTTATTTTATTGTTTGATTCAGATTTCGCTTTTATCGTTTTGCAGTTATTAATGATCATTATAATCGTGCATGTACCTATTAATTAATTGTGTTTGAGTATTTGGAGAATAGTAATATTATGGTTTCTATAATTTTTTCTTAACAATTTTATTATATTATATTCAACTATAAAATATTTCCAAAAAAAAATTCCTAAAATATTTAAAAATGATTGACAACTGAACATAATTTTTATTCATCGAATTACAATCAAACACTACCTATATAATAATATGATATTCAGTTAATTTTACCAAAAATCTTTATGCAATTTTATATTTCATACAAGTGTAGAATATTTTATGGTTATTACTCAATGATAATCCACCAAAATATATCCTTACACATTATTGCATTTAGTTTAAGTATATTAATTAATAAGTGTGTTTTCAAGTTTAATTTACGAGATTTGGTGACTTGATACTCGTAAAATTAAATATTGAAAAAGTGTATACTGATGTACCTACTGATATGTTTTTAAGGTGACGGTAAGGTACAATAAAAACTTGGAGATACAAATATTAGGTCAGTATTTGTACAATTTAGATTTTTTTTTTAAGTAAAAATTTTTATCATTATTATATTAGAATGTTGAAAAATATGTTTGCATTCTAAAATATGTATTAGTATACTAGAATAGTATGAACGAACCTTGATAATATAATTAGACGAGAATAAATTACAGAGCGTTCAATAATATGGATACGTATAAGTAATAAGTATTATATTAAATTATTTGTAATACTAATGAATAATATTAAATAATGATACATATAAATCTACACGGTATGCGAACCGTAATAATATTTTACAGAATTCAAATATTGTTATCTTAGAAATATATTGATTCGCAAGTAAAAAAAATATTTTGTGAAATATTCGTTTTGATGATTGTAATTTAATACGTACACATTTTAATAATTTATAATATTATAAAATAACAAAGCTGTGTAATATTAAAATAATTTTTGATCATTAAATAGAACAATCAGAACTACATGTTGCTATATATTATGTACATACATTGGTATAAATAATTATCGATGAATGAGTACAATGCCACGCAAAATAATATTCACAAACGCGTTGGCGTTATGTACGATTTGTCAACACATTTAAACCACTTAAAGCTTATAATATATAGGTATCTCTTACACACAAACGTGTGCTGACAATATTCACGTTCCCATACGATTTATGAGAAACAACCATATTATATAATTATGCACGTTTTACATTCAGATTCTATTGGATTTACAACGATGTTTTATGTATAATATTGTCTAGAAAAACACTTTTTATGGTAGCTAAAAGTATAAATGTGCCACACGAGTATTGTATGCATAGTGACGAATATGTATATAAAAAGGTACTATATGTAGACACTGTCAAGAATACATAATTCAAAGAATTCGGAAAATTGAAGAACAAAAACAGTCCCACCCAGTTGAATATTCAATATTGTTATTCGAGTGCGATAATAATGGCTCATATTATTTTATAGTATTATAATATTTACTGTAATAACACATGCGTCCACACAGCACTTCACCCGAGTAGTTTGGAGTGGAGTGGACTATACACGTCTATCCGTCTTAAGTATGACGTATGTTCGTATATTCTTAGAAATTATTCGTCACTCACAAAGACTTGAAGTGAAATTGTTTTTTATTTTTTATTTTTTGTAGAGATAAGACGTATGCTTTGCAGTGTACTCAACATACTGATCATTATATAGTGATGGATTTTAAATAATTGCAAAATTACATTTCCACCCCAATAAAAATATCTATTATTTAGTATAGCACAGTATAGTACAGTTTAAAGTGTTTCGTTTATTTACATTATTAATGTTTTTGGTATTTTTTGAATAGTAGGTAGTGGTATAACTATATTTATTCTTACGAGTGATACTTTAAATGTTATTGGCTTGGTGTAATTGGTTAGCCCTTAGCATATACTTTTATGTCATACTTTTCAATAATGCAATTTATTATCAAACACTGGAGTCAGCTGCAGTTTATTTACCGCACCAAAAGAAACCCAAAATCAATTCGACTGGTATTTTATGAGCACCATTAAACGAATGGCGATGGTGATAAAAATTATGATTGTTTATTGTTCCTATTATACTTACTGACGATAGAATAGTTTTATTGACCGTGAATAGACCAGAAGCTGTAATAACGGTTTGAGAATTCTGTACTTGAGACATAAAGAAAGTAACCTGCACAGTGTACAATACATTCATTAAAATACATACATATTTGCGTTTTGTTATACATATATTAACGTGACAAAATCTAAAACTATACAATATAATATGTGTGTTTTGGTATAGATATGTATTTGTATTTATTAAATATTTTAGACAATTTAGTTGTGCAATATTTAATACATATTGAGTTAAACTGCAGAATAGGTTACAGTTATTTTAAGTATTGAAGGAAAAAAGTATAGTATGGTTAATATTTTGTTATAACTTAATCATATTAAGGTGGTAGACGATATTTTTTTATCATGAATAGCAGTTATTATTATTATTAAGTTTATTGTTTTCAATCCATCAACATACATATTATAATGTAAAACAAAAAGTTATTGTAACTCTTTCAAAAGCTAAAAACTTGTCCTAAAATGATGAGATCTAATATGAATATTTAAAATTGTTTTTTTAATAGTGTTTGTAAAAAAATATAATAGATATCAGAGATTTCTATTAAGTTAAATAATCATCTGGGATAAAACTGAAAATATTTTCCACGTGTAACCTGTAGATATTTGGAGTTCTCAGAAATAAATAATTATTAAGCTGTTAAAACAAATGAAAATGTAAATATATGAAAACAATTTGTCATTTAAGTAAAGGAAGTACCCATTGTGAAAAAAAATGTTATATTTTTAACGTAACCTGGAAGCCAGAAAAGGAAATTAAATACATATTATTATTATTTAAATATTAAATACGATTCTATAAAATTGTATGTATAACCTGAATCATATATTTTTAGATTTAAATTAATTAGTTACTTATGTTTATAACTATAATTCATTATATACCTGTTCAGAGCAGTCTTGGGGTAATTTCCATATCGGTATGTTTCTTAAGTCTGTTATAATTTCTTTGCTCTATAGACAATTGTACATAATATTATTTTAATATCGCTGATTTTCACGGCAATAATTAAATTTATATGAAGACCGTGCCTTATTTTATTATTTAGTTAGAGGATGGCATAGGAAGTCGTGTGTTATAGTTGAAAACTAATTTTTGTCTCGGATACTAGAGTGTTTTTAAATAATGTTCATGTGGTCAGGCGAAAACATTTCGATAACGAGATAGGTAATATGATCTCAAATGACAATGACGATCAAACACGTGAGTTCCAGATTCAGGTCTACTTACTATAGGTATATGTAGGTATATTAAATAGGTAAACCTAACCTGTCGGTAGTCTCAAATTACTTTATAATAAATAGAATAAGTTTAGACCAGGGATTCCCAACTTTTTTTGGTCGCTTACTGCCTTTTCCGATTTGTAAGTACTCTCCACCTAAAAATTCTCAAAAGCCACATTCAGCTACGAGTGCTTCTCCCCGTGGTTGGGCAACACTGGGTCTTAATGGTCTTATAATAATTTACTTGTTTCCCTCAAAGCATTTGTCACGGATTCATAAAATGTTAATCACCCCCGACGTCTTTTAAGTTAACTGTACAGATAATCAGAGTGGATTGTAACAACTATTAGTGTAGCTTCTTAGGTTGAAAAATACCTTTTTCGTGAACTAGACGTCATAATCAATCCACTCGTTAATTGAGCTACAATTATTTTACTTGTGCATCTCTAGTGATTTAAAATAATTGCTTTTCATAGTTTAAAAAATGTTTTTCTTTTTTATAGCTTAATTTAATTTTTTTTAATTTTTTCCAAACGACAAAAATATTTGTTTTGAATTTTATGCCCCGAAGCAGAAATGTTTTTCAAAATATTGATATTTTAATATCATAATGTTGGAATAGAACACATTGATTTGATAAAATATATCATAATATGAAACACTAGGAAAAACCACTAACAATGTATATTATTATTTCATATATATACCTAATAGGTAAGCTTACCTATTGAACAACAATTTTATTATTATACGGTATTTATACTGAACACAGTTAAGTGAAGAGTACAAACACAATAGTTGTTATGTAATTGTACGTATCATGCCGAAAAAACATTTTATAATATAATGGTAAACGGATGGTAAACCGTATTACATTATTTTTTGTTTTTATTAAAATATTAATAATTATAACACGTTCGTGTATAATTTTCTGAATTATTAAATGCTAATAGTCTTGGACGACGTTTTTGCACAATTCACTGTTGATACATGTACCTGCATTCTGGGAAATATTATACAACACGATCTGTAATATTATTTTCATACTGCAGTGGGCAAACGTACTCTGCAAAAAGGGATTTGTCTCATTTAAATACAGCTAATTAGCGATTAATTCACGAAATGAACACGCATTTCGCAATGTCGTGTGACATCTTATACACGGGCCTCCGTCCAGCTCTTTATTTATCGTTATATTATACCCGTGCATTATCATCTATCTCTGCTGACTTTATGCGTGCAGTGACGTAATAATATTATGTATCTAATTACAGATTCCGTGAGCGTGTCGGACAGATAGGCGACCAGGTATGTACCGATCCAGGCATGCCCCAGGAACATCAACGACTCCAGCATGCTGACGCCCTTGTTCTCCAGCGCTGAATGTTTATACCTGTAGGTGGGCATCACGTATGTGTCGAAGTAGAACCGCGCCAGGTGCTCGAGGAACACGAAAAGCAAGTACGTGGTGAGCCGGGGTCCGAATGCTACGCTCACCTCCTCGACGAGGTCGCAGAGCTGTGCGTGCGCCAGCCGCTCCGATTCCAGTACTTGACACGTGGTACGCGGCGTGGAAGCGAGCACCTTGGCCACTTCCATGCGCCACCGCGTGCGCAACGACCGGAAGCGGACGCACATCTCGTCGCAGAACAGCAAGTACAGCAGCGGAAATATCGAACTCATGTACCTGCGGCAGCGTGGTAACAAATGGAGACATAGTATATATATTATATCGTATGCGCGCGAAATACAATGGTTTTATGTTAACAATGTACAGGCAGTGTGTCCCGAGTCCCTCTACAAATTTCGATTTAATGGCTTATGACGTGTATTGTTGAAAAAAAACCTATCAATTTAGATGCGTAATATAGATTGGCCGTGAAGACAACTAGGATGATTGTGCTTTGCTTTCGGGACACACTATATAGGAGTTCGTATCTAGTTTCTACAGACCCGCAAAGAGAGTAATATAATATGGACTGACGAGTGGGCAGTAAAATACGCAATGTTTTAGAAAATTCAAATTCCTAATCACACATTCACACCTACGCGGGATGCACACCCGCCCACTAAATAAAAAATTCTCTTGGACATTTATACCTTGCATGTCATATTTTAATAACTATAAACTAGCAAATAATAGGAAAAAAATAGAAAATGAATAAAAAAAAAGAAAAGTCAGTAAAATATTATATTTTTGTGGGTTTGCGGAGAGATGTTTAAAATCGTTCGCTAAAAAACGTTGCGTTCTATATTTTGTTCGCAGATAACCGGATTACCGGATGATGAACAATTTGCTACACAAATCTACTCCACCGCAGTATCGTCTATAGAAACGCGTCCTGTGTTAGTTTTTATAGAGAAATAATATAATTTATTATAGTATTTTGTATTTCCATCGCCCGTGCACTCGTTTAGTTATTGGGTACCTACGTAGACTATACTGTATCAATATATCATGTATACACTGAAGTAACCCATACGGCTGCAATTTACCTACTTTTGTAAAACTGATATATTATTATAACGAAATAAAGAAAAATATTTTAACAATAATAGGTAGTTAAGTATAATATATAGACTCGAGTTGGTAATAATATTACGACTTTATGTAACATTATAATGATAATAATAAGAAAACACCATACACCCACGTCTACATATGTGCCTACCCATATTATGGTCTCTGTTGGTCAATTTCCTTACGTGCGAAATAAATATAAACTACTTTCTTCACTGCAGTTTATATTATACACGATTACGAATGTATTTTCTGCAGTGCATATTATTTAAATTCAATGTGTCCGACTTTAACACCTAATAAGTAATAACTGTGATTTCAACAGTGCCGCGTGCCCAGATAACAATATCATTTTGTTTGTACGATACGTTTATGTGCGACTGCAGACGCAGATCAGAGAAGAGTAAGGGCTATATGCCTATATGGTATGGTAAAGGGCTATTCCCCCTTTATGTGCTATAATGTTATACGATATTGTGTTTAAATACTTAATTTCTCAATAAACTAATAAATTATACATTTATTTTTTTTGGAATTTGGTCGATTGACAATCGAAGAATAGGATATTTTCGATATTTGCCACCCTTTATGATACATAGCAGCACATTTTATTTCACTTGAAGGGATTCGAATCGGACTGGTTTTCATGATACGATGTTTTATTTTCATTTAGATGTTCTGAATACTGATTGATCTAATTCCATGATATGGATTTTGAAAGCGTGTTTGGATTTCTAATTTTGTATTTTATTGAGATCTAACTTTTAAACAAATTTAATTATCAAAGTATTTGACTTTTCAAAATGTAAACATGTAATTACGATTTTTCAGATAAATAAATTGAAAATGTTGTTCGCAGGTTCTAAAATAAATATATTAAAACGTTCAAATCCTTTTTAAATATCAAAATTCATAAAATGTTTCATTTTAATACCTCGGGCTTGAAAATGTAACACAAGATGTCTTAACTTGATCTAACTGGAATATAAAAAAGAAGTAGAAACACAATATCCTTGCGTCATAATTCATAGTATATAATATTATGGGTGGGAATTTAATGTATTTTTACAGGTGGCAATTGCCCGGTATCACTAGAAATGTACTGGTGAAAACATTGACAGAGATTAATTTTTTTTTGTCAATATCAATTTTGAAACTATTTTGAAAAACTATAATTTTTTATATTTTTCGGCTGTCTAAAAAAAAAAAACCTTAACCATCTTTTCACATCATTTGAAATTTCTAGATCTGCGTCTAGGTCTGCTCGTGAGTTCCTAATAGATTTAATATATTATCGGTGATTATGGCGATGCCACTATTTTAAAACGCATACCTCAAAACCGATTCGTAGAACACTTTGGCCGAAATTTTGTTTACCAAAATATCAATGCAGCCGCACGCGAGCAACGTAAACGTACATCCCAGATAGGCGATCACGTAGTAGCGGGGCCGAGTTCTTTGTTCCGTAGGCCGACCTTATTTCGAATCGAACCGGTTTGTGTTCTCGATGATTTTCGGCAAACGCATGTCGACGTAGATCGACGTCAGTTGACTTAGAAATTCCCTCAGTATGAAATTTATCGTCCAAAACCACAGGGTAGCTGTCGGATTTCTTATGGCTTTCAACACCAACAAATAGCATGGCGTTATGTATGTTACCTTGATCGACAATCATTGAAAACACGGTATGATTAAAAATGTCTACTACCGATCATGAAAATGCGTATTGCAATATAATTCATATTTTATGGAATTACATTATATGGTACTGTTTACAGTTTTTCAGGTTTTTAATAAGCAAGCAGACATTTTAAGCTGTCCAGTTTTGAATTTCAGATCAGACATGATGTTTTGTTTAGTTTAAAGATAATTAAAAAATTGTATTTAAAAAATAAGCAGTTTGTTTTCGAATTAGAATAAAATATGAAATCTTTAATCAAATCATCATGAAGGTTGATGTTATTCGGCTATATGTTGCAAATAATAATTTATAAAAAACAGTCAGATAGGTAACCGCTCTGCTGTTAAGTAGGTGTCAAGTGTAACTCGTCATTGAGTTGGCAATGTAATTGATGTGTTAAATTTGAATGATAAATCATTGTATTCGAAGAAAACGATTCTGAGCGAGGACGGTCCAAAATTTTGGTGACCAAGGTTACCAAATAATAATTTTAATAACAGTATTAAATGTTAATAGATTTTAACAAATGTTTTTCTTCCTCATATATTTTTTATAGTACTAAAAATTTTCATTGATGATCTTACACAAAAATAAAATATATACAAATCAATACAAAATATTTGAATAATAATTTAAAATTTAAAATTTAAAATACATAAGCAATTTTTACCTATTTTAAACTTCTTGTAATCGATTGATTTTTTTTTAATAACAAATAGGGATATATGGTGGCCAATCGCAGCAATTCCTTAACTTTCTAATTTAATTTAATTGATTCACTGTTTATTAACGAAAGGTTAACTCGTTGTTCAACTCTATTATACAATTTTGTATTTAGACAATACTTAACGTTCAGTCGTTTGAAATCGATCACTGTGGTCAGTTCTCCAATTCTATCTTCTTTTGTATCAACAAGATACTTGTATTAACTAAATGTGTTATGTTTTTTTTTCATAATCAATGATATAATTTTTTACTTATAACATTTTGTAAAATATTCGAGTGACAAATTTTTTGATATTATATTCAACATTGTTTATTATATCATACAATGTACACAGAAATAACAAGTTTAATAAACATTCGACGTTAACATCAAACTTTCAATACTTACTACAACTCAATTAAGCAGAATCAATCTACCACAAAAAATTATAAAAGACATTATTACAAAAACTTCTCTCTGTAATTGTACCTATACAAGTAATGAAGTAGGTATATCGAATAATTGATAGTAATTACTCTTCATATTTACTAAACTCTCATAGTCGAATATTGAAAATTTTATTGAAAATTCCTTTTCTCAAAAATCAAAATAATAAATATGCCACATATAAAAAAAAATTGTATACCTACCTAAATACCTAAATTACTCATTTAAATATCATTTATATTTCATATATATTACACAACAATATTAGCTTACTCGCTAATAAGTAATAACTATAATGAACATTCGTCATTCAACGTTGTCTGGATGACGATTACAAAAATTATTATAAATGATAATTTAGAAATTATACATAAGTATGAAATAGGTACTTAAATGTAGAGCCTTAAAAGAAAATAATAAAGAATTAAATTAAATCGTATATAGGTAGGTAGTTAAATAAAAACAAACATTTGAATTAATTATGAGTATTTTTTTAATTACTTTTAATTTCTTACGAGAAATTTATATGGTTGTTTTGAATGTGTTTTATAATTTTATTTTGATATTTAGGTAGGTAAAGCATGTTGTAGTTCTAAACTTGTAAAAATGTTCTTAGGTAATAACAATTTAGTTCTAATGTAGGTATACTTAAGATGTAGGGACCTCAAAATTTTAATCTGTTAGTAAGTAATAGTAATTACTAATTACCTAATACATATTAGGTAATAGGTATATTATAATTTATAAATAATAATACCTATAATAGTGTTAGGATATACCTGATATACATATTAGTTACTTGTTTTTAAATACATACCAGTGGCCATATAAGATTAGGTCCCCATTGAAAATCTATTCGACCATAAAATACATTTTTAAGGCTCGTTAGTCCCATAATTTTGTACAGCATTAACGTTGATCTTATATCTTCGTAGAAATCTTTATTCGTGACCGACATTTTATTGAAAAACTAAGTTAATCAAACGATAAAATCATATACACAATCGGATGCATAAGTTTCAATTGAAATATTATATAGTCGTACGGTGTAGGCTTAAGTCATTTATTGTGCGAGTATTAAACCCATTTGTTGTGATCAAACAAAACGGCTTGGCCCGTACATTCATATGTTAAGTTTTAAATATTAATAAAGTTTGCTTAATGTAATACATTTTTATTGGGAAAAATGCATATTGTGTACATAAAATACGAACGTCAACATTTCATCTTTTCGACCATTTGTAAGGTTCTAATTTAGATTTCATGAATAGTAAATTTATATAATCATTCCTTATGTAGGTATGTAATATTGTGCGTGTGTTTTTTAATAATAAAACTATCGACGGTGCAAATATTTATACAACATAATAATATTTATCTATGTATAGGAGTGTCACTATATATTGGTGAATTTATTACTTTTATGTAACACAAGAAAAAAATACAAAGGTATCGAGATTGATTGTCTCCAATTTGACAATAAATATTTTATCAAACGAGTAATTGAAACTAGGCTTTGATTATTTCGTCTGTTCTGACGAATAAATATTTTATTTTTTTGGTTTAGCATATTATTATTATATTTTACTCAGTGGCCTCGGGCCTGGATATTACATTCCACTTTTCGTCCAAGCGAACGTTGAATAATGAAAAGTGAATTTAATTAATGTTTCATTCATCTCGCCTATTATGTTATTATTTTTCTGTCGAAATTACCTATTTTAGCTATTTGGCCTAAGCCAGTTTTCGTGTTGTCTACGATTTCATTTTAAATTATAGGTATATAACATATTATATACATTATTAAGTACACTAACCTATAATGCAGATATAGCGCAAATATTTTTGTTCGAAGATTATACCAGAATATGCGCGTTGTGTGCAACAAATGACTCTTTTTATTTTATTTCTTCGTTAACTTGACTCAGTAATGAGTATTGCGGGGTGTCGAAGAGATTCACAGGAAGAAATCGAGTAAGAAAATATCTTGTGGTGGAGTTATGAAATATATTTATACTTTTATATGGCAGCTGGTGGCATGCAGACTGCAGTACCTATATACTGTTAAGTACCAAATACAGCCTCGATAGTACATACAATCTACCATAGTCCATAGTATCAGATCTCAGTAGGTAGTTATTATATCTACAATAAGAAAAGTCAAATTCATTTTGTGCTTTGGTAATCAATGCAAAGTATAATATATCTATAAAGGTATGTCCTCCATAATGTATATACATGCCTGTATGGAATGTTACGTAACATTGACACTTTTTAACAACAACACACTCATTAGTCATTATAAATCGAAAAGTATTTATGTTTTTGAAAAAAATTGTTTTCATACAAGATTCAAAGAAATCATTACAAAACATTGTTTTGTTACTAAGGACTTTTTAAATTTTTATTTTTTTGAATGACATCATACATTATTAATTACACATTCCAAACCAGATCATATTCATATGAGATTCCAACTATTATAAGGGAAAGTGATACATACTAATATCATTGTATTGAAAAGTTTTTGGAAATATTTTTTTAAAGTAATTTAAAGTAATAATTGCAAAACAACGATGTTTGTTCATGGTTTTTCAAAGTTGTTACATTGTCGAATGACAGCATATATTTTTAATTTTTAATTCCTGAGTAAAGTATCTTTTCTGAGAATTTCAATACAATTTTATAAAAGTCGAATTTTGAACATGTATAGTATTCAAAAGTATACCTTGTAAATGTATTTAAAATTTAGGTAAGTTGAATAAAAACGTAGGTACATAATATGTATTTCAATTTTTTATTAAGTTTTCTTCTCCATGTCATCGGATCCATTCCAAATTAGTGTCAATATTTTATAATAAATGTTTGCCAGTTTGTAGAACCGATGTGACAACTCTGGGCTACGTGAAGTTTCCCTTCCCTCAATCACCTATTAAAAATCGATGACAATTATGACAATTTTGGGTTGCAAACAGTTAAAAATTAGTTGCAAAACATTGCCACTGATTTGGAATCAACTCTGTTACTCGAGGGTGGAGGGGGATCTTCGTGAACAGGACCCGACATTTATAGGTAGGTATGAATAACCTCGTCAGCTTGGTATCTACATACGAATTTTAAATATGCGTTGGTAAATGAAGAACGTATGAGTTTGGATAATATTATTACGATACACTTCAATTATAAACAAAGAATAAATAGTTAATTAGTTAATTTTTAACGAGCTATGAATTACGATAGTATTTAAGACGTATTTATAATCTATACTTTATAATATATTATGTATATTAACACAAATTATTATATATTTTATTAAGTACATCGTACCTATATAATAAAATACGACATCTCTATATTTTAGTCAACTGTAAACGCAACTGGAACAGAAATAGGATAGTTGTTTCAATAACCCTGGGATGCAATCAATACGATAATATTATTATTTTATGTATATAGTGTAACATGCTAATTTATGGCACTTCATATTATACCTTTGGGATCCGATTAATAAAATACGTCCTTTACAACATTTTTTTACGATAACTCGAGGTCGAGAAATTTACCTTCATTCCATAATTTCTATAACACTCTGATATTATATTAATGTATTCAATATTATATAATAATTGTGCGTTGTAAACTATATAGTATTATTATACTGAGGTATACCAAAACTAGTCTATAAGTATACGAAACGTAGCTCATAATAATAATATTAATAACAAAATAAAATTGTCTGGACTTTGGGCGCGTTCTATCATACAATTATTATGATTTCATTCGGGCAATGTAAATTTATTAATTTGTTAAATTTAATTAAAAACTCCTTTTGTTATTCTCATTAAAAATTCTGTTGCAATTAGTTTAGAATAATATAGGTATTGCAGGGTGTATAACAGAATATGGCCGACAAGTGTAATCAAATATAACTATGCAATAACTGTTGTTCTTATCTATATTTTTTTTTTGTATATTATATCATTGACAATAACCATAAATTAAAACAAAATTAAAACATGTAGTATAAAAGTTATTACATAGTTAGACATAACTAGTTTGTTAAATCTGTAGGTTCTTTCTGATACACCCTGTATACATGGTTCATATTCAATCGTATATATTCGCATTAGCATTACTGCGTAGCATACGGATATGTCTGAATATATTATTTATTATTTTTACTTTGGTACCTATTTAACTTTTAAAATATTATCATGAGATAAATTAGTATTGGATATCTCAAATTTATAATAATTATCTTTATTACGGAAAATATTCCAATTTACAATAATTTATTTAGTGACAGTTTCAATGTGAACAAGTATAGAAATAACTTTAGGTAAATTATGATAAATTAAATCGATATCTATCAATTAAAAATATTATATCAAAAGATAATTATATAGGTAGGTAGGTAGGTAGGTACCTATATAGTGATTTAACGAAAAGAATAAAAAGAAGAAAAAAAAAGATCTTAAATAAAAAGATAAAGGTTACAACATGATTGAGTTTATTTAATTTATAATAAATATAATGAAGCAGTTAACTCAGTGATATGTATATTAAATAAATCAATATTACACGTCATAGAGTTACCAATCTAATTAATATTATTCCGAGGAGAATACAATTTGTAAGTATTAGAGTCTAGAGACTCTCAATAAGGATGGAAACTCATAAAAACGTAGTATACAAACAAACAACAACTCAAATATACTTTAAAATATTATTGGTAGACCACATTTTGGGTGATAGCCATAATAACTGGCGTCGCTCTATAATATATAATATTAACATAGTAACTAGCATAAAGTAACAGTCTCCTAAAACCATATTTAAAAAAATTGCAATTATGACACACATGCTAAATGTTGAAAACTTGAGACACGCTCCGTGCTTTTGTAAATAATAAAAATAAACGATAAACCCTCGATTATTTGACACGCAGGTAGGTAACTGGTATCATTATCGATAAAATATTTGTCTAAAATCACCAAAAACAAATGTCATTACATCCTTATGGTTACCTACTCGTATTATTAAAGAACAATACATAGAACAACTAATACAATTTTTAATATTATCAGACTTATGCTGGGTTGCATGAACAGGCAAATGTAAACTGGGCCCGAAGTTACCTTTTTTGTTGTAAACTCGGCCCGGAAATTACAGGTAGTAAAATAAATCGATTCGGCCCGAAAATGTCAGGTGATAAAAAAGGTTGGTCGTTAACTTTGACCAATTAAATATAATAAGCACGACATAATTTGATCTGATTTCAACGTATCTATTTACTTTATCGTGTTAACGAGTGTTAAAATATATAGTGTTATTATATAAATACATTGAGACAAATAATTTCTTTTTTGTATTGGACTTTTGAAACGACGTTTCAGTAGTGTTTACACAACTGTGACGATGGCACGCATAGTTGAATCCCAACGTGGACAACCACTTTTCGTTTTATAAAATTTTAAATATTCTAAAGTAACTCGTCCGTTAGCTTCAGGCGAAATAAAATGGCGATGTATAAACCGCAAATGTACAGCTTTTTTAAATACGTTAGGAATGAATAATGATATCACGGAGAAAAATGATGATCATCTACATGAACCTATCGAGGATCAAGTACTATAACGACTTTATCTTTCGGCCGACGAGAGCAATTCAGAAATATCGTTGCGGCAACCGCGGGTTGCATTCATGATACATTCACGGCCGATTCACTGTTGTCGTTTGAAACGAGATGTGTTATTTTACGTATGCACAAGTCGCGTTTTTTAAAATGTAATCGTACAACAAATAACTACACCTGGTGCATATTTTTGATTTAAGTGCTAAGTGCACTGCGAATTGCATGCTAGTCACTATAGGTTGCCGCCTGCAATAGGTACCTCGTGTGACAATGTGACATAGCCACATAGGTAATGTTTTTGTCAGATCATCACATTTATCAACGTTCTAATATTCCAATAGCAGCTATTCAAAACCCTACTTGCAGGCTACACCTCACTGCTGAACCTAAGAATCATTAACACTTTGTTTAAACTCAAATATATTTGAATGTAAATATTCCTTACAAAATTCGTTAAACCCTTATGAATTATACTAGGAATGTTTTTTGTGTTATTATAATTTGCATTTATCGTCATAAAAAATATAATTTAACGACTCTAGATTTTATTGTTATCTTAATATTTGCACATATGTATATGCACACCATTGATAAATGGGTATACTTTTTAGATGTTTTGTATTAATTAGACACATGGACTAAAATGTAAACTTGTAATATTAACTTGTGGACTAATTATACAAGTACAATTTACAATTTAAAATGTGTAGATAATATCTGTAAGTATATTCATTTTTATATTCTCGTACCTAAGTTAAACATATTTTATTCAATTTGTAGAGGTAGGTTTACATACCTAAAATAAATCTATTAAGATGTTTACTTTATGTCTTTATATGACTACCAAATGAGTGTACTATCAATCACCAGCAGTTTTATGAATAACTGATTTGGATATTAATATATAATAATTGTAGTACAAGGAAGTGCTGATTGAAAAGTAGGGAGAGTCTAAGACAATAATTGTTGTTGATTGTTCTATCTACGTTTGCCGATATTTGTTCACTTTTACCATAAAATTGAATAAATTCAGGACGGCGCTTTGGGTAGGCAATCTATAGCCATTATTTCATTATTATAAATCGTAAATCGTCTAGTTTTGGACAGGCATAATTTAAGTTTTGATTTAATATTCCGTCATTTTGAAAGGTATCAGACATTTTTTACTTTTGACCCCTCAAAGTATCAACTAGATCAAATTAATTACCTGAAACCACCCTCAATGTTTAAGATAGAAATAGAACTATTTTTAATGCTCCAAATGGCAATAATAGACATGTTAATAAATTTAAAAAAATAAAACACAGTATTGCAACACCAATACATTCACTGCTGAGCTGAGAGTTTAATACATTTAATATAATATAATTACTATCTATGGGTTAACCAAAAACCCATTTAAGAATTTAAGACCATACCTATATTTCACTTATCTATTCGGTTTACATTGAAGATCTAACATATCACATGGTTAATATCATTAAAAATTGTATTTTTAATCCATTGTATCATGCACAGTTTCATCTGTTGCTTTGTGATTATCTTATAATTGTATTAAGTTTTTTTGGGGATTTTGTGGCATAACTTGTATCTTATAGAAATGTACAGAGCTGAACGAGTTGATTTGAATTTTTAACAAGTAATGCCTGAGAAAATAAATATTAACCAATATTATATCATTTTGTTTACTTGTATTATACTATATTTAATTTTATATATGAACTTGATACTTTAAGGACCGTTTCACATGGACGCATATCATACGTGTTTATGTGAAACGGACCTAACGCGTCTTATATTTTAACAATTGCTTTGGAGTATACAACTCACAAAAATGACATTATAATGTATGAAAAATTTACAATTTACAAATATAAAATAACAAATCTTAAAAACGATATTTCTTTTAAATAAATACCCTTCATATAATTCAATCAGAATTAAATTGAATACATTTTTAATTTTCAAAATACAATCAAGTGCAAAATTGTATGTTTCAAGTATTGATTTATTTAAAAATCACTTTAGGTAATGTGAAAATATGTTAATGCAAATAGTTAATACATAATAATTAAAGTTATTTTCAGATAAACAGCTTATAATTATATTTAAAAACCTAATGCACATTTTATACATGGAAAGATACATACAACAATAAGTTATAAAATAATCTTAAATTATAAATGATAGTAAATTAAGGAGGCATCACTTTAGGAATGGGCATAGTAGCTGGCATGATTCCATTTGTGCCATTAGTTTGTGCTTGTCCAATGTTTGATGTACCAGATTTATTCATCATATTCATATTGTGCTCATATGCAGTATGAATCAATTTAGTTCTCCTTCTAGTGTAATGTTGCCAAATCAATAACAACTGATCATCAATAAATTTCGAACAAATAGCAGTAGCTATTTCTTTTCTAAATGGTTCATGCTGTAAAAGATCTAAAAAGTACAAACACATGGGATACCTGTAAACAATTTAAAAATCTTTGTGAGTAAACTGTAAGTTATTTAAAAAAAATATAATTATTATATATTTGTATGTCATCATGTTGTATTTTATACTCAGTATTTATACATTTCATTTATTTTTCTTAATTAAATCGATTTCTATACTAATTGATGATCAAACTATAAAAATAAAACTGATAAAGTGTGATTCACAATTAATTGATTATAATTATTTTAAAAATGTCATCACTGTTTATTACTTTTTAAATATACTATATAATATACTCTTAAGTTTTTGAAGTAGGATGTGAGATGGGTTTAAAAAATTAAGCACACATTCTTATTATAAAATAGTTAATACAATTTTCTAAAATGCTGAACAAATGTTTATATTTATTTTTAGAATTTAATAAATTATATACTATTGGTATTTCATAATGGTATATACATGGTAAATTATTTTAAGACTTAAATTTCTGGACTCATAATTAAATTAACTCTTAAATAATACTTTCCATTTTTAATTAAGTAGCATACCAAATATTGCATATCAATGGTCAGTATCCATATGGAATGTAAAAAAAAATATAAAAACTGGTGAGTGATTTATAAAGTTAAAAATTAAAATAGGTTAATGCATTTAATATTTAATCATGCATGCAGTTAAATTTAATATTACTCTATACTTATATTATTTTAGGCCTATAATACACATAAGTGTAATAAAATATTATGTGATAATATAGATATGTGTTACATAACATAAACAAACTAATTATTTATAGATGATTAGTTAAAATCAGGAATCTATCTAGAGGTATAACGTTTAATTATTATCAGTACTTACTTAATAAATTTTGCATAATCTGGCTCTTTCCAGTATAGTAAATATTTTAAATAATTAATAAAAGACTGATCCTTAAAGTATCCACGTTGAGCTAAAACTGAATAGTAGAAAAATAAGAAATACATTTTTTAAATTGCTTGTAAATACCATTGTTAAAAATTAAAACTTACAGTTTAAATAATTTGGATTAGCTAAGCATTGAACAAATTCAAGTTCTACTTGAAACCTTAATCTGGTTTGTTCTTCAGTTTCAGGACCACCTGCAAAGGAAAAATAAGTTAATTAAATAAAATAGGTAATAACAGTTACTTTAACATAATATGATGATAATCTCTGAATAGTATTGTAGAAATAGAATTCTATTATATAAAGAAAATAATAATTTTATAGTTCCCAATTGTAATGACACTAAAATACATATTATTTCAATAAATTCTACAAGTATCAACTTTAATTCAAAGTTAAAAGAGAAAATAATATGTTCAAATGTAATTTTGACTAGATATATTTTTAATAATATCACAATATTGTCTGTACTACCAATTTTCACAAAATAGCTTCATATACCTAATATTAATCATTATTATCTTATAATATGTAGAAGTAGTTTAATAGTTTATAAATCTCATTTACCTTTGTTAGCCATTTTGGTTTGGTTAATTCTTCATTAGATTTTGTGTTATTTAAGTAAATTGTCGACTTGTTTATACAATAGATTTGCAACTCAAACAATCATGTCATGACGCCACTCGGTCGAATGTCATTAGAAAGCTATAAACACAACAGCAATTAGCAATCATCAATCAACTATTGAAAAGAACACATTATATTATCAAGGATCAGACATCAGTAGACAATTACAGACAGTAACAAAATTCAAATACTCAATAATAGTATATTACCTTTAGAATTTAGATTTAGAGTTTTGCTAAAATAAAATATAAATTTATCATAATAATATCATAGTTAAGTTTTATAGTTGACTTATCAGTCTGCAGTCTTCACTCTGCAATCTGCCGTACATCAGCCACCAATGACTAATGAGTGAGAGAAAGACGGGAATTCTTCAGTGTTGCCTTATCCTGCCACGCGTATGTCTGATCGTGTAAATTGACAAACTGTTAAATTGATAATAATTTGGACACGACGTGATATGAACATTTTAACTTTAGCACGAACGAAGATGATAATAATAATAATAATAATAATAATATTAAAATGTTCCTAATTTCCCATAATATAAATAAAAACCATAATTGAGTCATTCTTTAGTCTTAAATCGCAATTCAATATTCATAATTCATATTTCAAATATTTCAATTTCATTTTCATAATATATTGTTAAGCCCAATTATTAAATACCATTATTTTATATTTTCCTAATATTAAAAATGAATTTAAACTGTAAAATTTTAAATTGATTTTGGATGTATTAGTTTTGTCACCGAAAAATAAAGTTTTAAATTATTCATTCAGATATTCTCCATCAATGTATTAACTTAAAGTTCAATAATGGTAGACAATGCATTAACTGAAAAGGTACTGTTGGCTACTGGAGGATATGATCACACCATTAAGTTATGGCATGCAAATACTGGAGTTTGCAATAGAAGCTTAACACATTTAGATTCTGTATCCTTAAAGACGCAATCTTAAATATTTATCTTGCTTTAAATCTGTTGAACTTTCTTGTCTAGATAAAAGTTGAATGAATCAAATTGTGAAAAATTTTAATTCAATATATATGTAGTAGGAACATAATTTTTGTTCATGTTGTTCCTGTGTACAAATACTGTGTACTTAATATACTGAGAGTCATTGTATGTACTCTGTATTGTGACTTAAACATTTGTAGTAGGCATTAGTTTGTCTAACATGATAAAACTAATTATAATATTAAAATATTTTGTTTTAAACTTTTTATAAATAATTTGTGTGAATAGAATCCTTGACTAATTCATTTAGCAAGTAAATGCATTGGAAATCACACCCGACAGACAACTCTTAGCTGCTGCAGGTAATTTTTTAAATAATTAAATCCCATATTTAACTGTGTACTTAATTTTGGTATTTTGTTTTACAGGGTTTCAACATATCCGTATGTATGACTTAAATTCAAGCAATCCAAATCCAATTTTAAACTATGAAGGAATATCAAAAAACATTACTGGTGTTGGATTCCATGAAGATGGTAAATGGATGTTTACATGTGGTGAAGACTGTAGTGCCCGTGTGTGGGATTTAAGGTACAAAAGAAGATTAAATTACACAAAATAACATACAAGTTATTATTATATTTTGAGCAGGTCTAGAAACTTGCAATGTCAGCGTATATTTCAAACAACTGCTCCTATCACTAGTATTTGTCTTCATCCTAATCAAGGTGAGTTAATATTAGGTGATCAGTCTGGCTTGCTTCATTTATGGGATTTGAAAACTGATCACAATGAACAACTTGTAAGTGTAAAACATTAATGCAGTTCTTCAATTTTCTTCCTGTTTTAACTTTTCATAAGTTTAGATACCTGAAGTTGATGCATCTATACAATGCGTGGCTATTGATTCTAGTGCAAATTATGTTGCTTCTGTAAATAATAAAGGAAACTGTTACCTATGGAGTTATAACGGTAATGGTTCTAGACTAAGTCCAGAGCACAAAATGAATGCTCACAGGAAGTATGCTCTTCATTGTAAATTCAGTCCTGATTCAACGTAAGAATATAAATAATTTTGACTTGTAATTATATTAATCTCCGATTAATTTCTTTAATTGTAATAGATTGTTAGTAACAACTGCAGGTGATCGAACAGCTTTTATCTGGAAAACTAGTGATTTTTCTTTAAAACAAGAACTAAAAGATGAACGGCAGAGATGGGTGTGGGATACAGCGTTTAGTAATGATTCAGAACATTTATTGACAGGTATTATTGGGAATATTTATAACAACTTATAAATTAATAAACATGTTTCTAAAACTGGATATAACAAAAATAATTAAAAAGAGAAGATTAATGTGGGCTGGGCACATTTGGAGAAAAACAAATTTCTGCATGTAAAGGGTCATTGAGGAAGAGGTGGTTGGAAAAAAACTGTTTTTTAGATACATTATAATATGCTCAGCAGATTATGTTTAGAGTAAAACGTAGTCTGCTGAGTGTACAATTTTCCATACTGAATACTTGTAAGATGGAGACAACTAATGGTGGTTTTGCGTTCTCTTAAGATTAGAAGATAGAATAAGAAAGGTGGTAGCAGTAGTACCGAATGGATGCTGGGTTGAGTTGTCAATGGATAAAAAGAGATACTTGTAAATTTGTTTACAGAGTTGGTCTTGGAGGCCGAAACCCCCACTAGAAGAAGAAGGTTAAAAAGCTTATAACAAATTAGATCTATGGTTAATGTAACCAGTGGCATTGCAAAATTGTGGAGGCTTTGAAGCATATCATTTACTTTTAATATTTTTACCGCCACCCCTCTATTGAACCAAAACAAGTAGCAGAGACCATTAATAACTAAATTATAATATTTGTCATGATATTTGTGTTTAGGTCTTATAATTAAACATTACCCATTCGGACTCGGCCACACACCCATTTTGGACATTAAGCAGTTGCTTCAAATAATCCTACATCCCTCCACCTCTGCTCTTAACTAATTAATTTGTTTTTGGTATTTATAATACAGTGGACACCGCTTATAAGAATCACGGATATAGGATTCAGTCGCTTATTAGACTCAAAATTGTCTGAAACGGTCCGGACGTATCCCAATACTTCATAAAAATTTCGGTTATAAGACTCAACAATTCGTTTATAAGACTCAAATTTTGTAAAAAAAAAAATGGTAAAAAATAAACATTTTTGGTCAAAATTTAGAAATAAATTAATGTTTTTTGCTTTATTATGTGTGTATGTACAACAAATTGTATCGTCTTTCACATTTTCCAATATATTTCCGGAATATTAGTTTATAACTAAAAAAAAAAACAAAATCACAATTCTTTTTCATAAATAATATATAGGTACATTATACATACATCTTTTATAATTTTTTATTAATGTATGTAGATATTGTAATTTTAATTTTTTATCAGAATTTTTTTAATTTATTCAATAATACTTATGTCACATGTAATATGTATTAGAGTATTAAAATTAAAGAAAAATATGTAGTAAAATAAAATTCATAAATATGTAATTAATTTTTTTTCCTACTTCGGTTATAAGACTCACTTTGTGTTGGTCCCAATGTGAGTATTATAAGCGGCGTCCACTGTATAATCAATAGCATTGAAGATAAAAATGTATTCATATTTATTAATAGAAAGTTATTTCTATAAGGTCCTTACATCTCTAAATCTAAAATATTAATTTTTGTGTGAACTCATAAGTCATTATTCATCAATAGTTATTTTCATCAAATTACATTTATTCAGTTTTTGTATGAACATGCAACGTGGATATTTATTTTAGTAAAATAGTAAAACTAATTTTTATATTTTGTTAACAGGTTTAGATACATAAACTTTTATTTGGCAGTGCTACATTTTTTACAATTTTATAGTGGATACATAATATTATACTTCATGATTTTCTTTTCTTATTTTTTAGCTTCATCAGATGGCATGGCAAGATTATGGAACGTAGAAAGCGGCAACATAGAACGTGAATATGAAGGACATCAAAAATCACTTACAGCTTTAGCATTTTGTGATCCATATAGTTAGGTTTTAAAGTTATACTAGTTTTATGATGAAATAAAATTAGAAAAACAGAGACATGCGTTTGTACCTCCAAAACCAAATGCATTTTTTATTGCTATTCTATTTTCTTGCTTCCATTGCATTGGACTTTTAGCAACACAAATTAAATTTTCAGCTTCTTTGCAAATGTTGTTTAGATTTGCTGTTGGTGGAATAACACCTTCATAACAAGCAAGAATTGTAAAAATACTCTCTAAATTACCAGCTGACCCTAGTAAATGACCATGACTACCTTTTGTGGATGAAACATGTACATTAATGCAGTGCTCATCAAAAAGTCTTTTAATTGCCGTTAATTCGATGGCATCTCCTACCGGAGTTGAGGTGGCATGTGCATTTACATATGAAATTTGTGTCTTGTCTACATTAGCATCTAAAATGGCTCTAGTCATGGCTAGTAAAGCTCCTTGGCCATTTTCTGGTGGTGCTGTTAAGTGTGAAGCATCACCAGATAAACCATAACCCAGAACTTCTCCATAAATATGAGCGTTTCTATTGAGAGCATGTTCTAATTCTTCTAGTATAAGCATAGCAGACCCTTCACCGATAACAAAACCATCTCGATTTACATCAAATGGTCTTGATGCTAATTCTGGTTTATCATTTTGAGTAGATAGTGCTCGTATTCTACAAAAAGAAGCTAATGACAATGGGCTTATACATGACTCAGCAGCACCACAAATCATTGCTTTTGCTTGTCCATACTGAATAAAACGAAAACCATCACCAATTGCATGGGCTCCGGTTGCACAAGCAGTAGACACAGCATGATTGGGTCCTTGTATGCCATAAGTCATGCTTATTTGGCCAGCTGCCATATTGAGTAGAATACGTGGCACAAAATATGGGCTGACTTTACTGTAACTTATTTCTAAAGCCTTGGCTGTTTGACACACATCCTCTAAGTCTACCATACCCACTCCTACACTGACTCCAATACTCTCTTTATCGACTGTAGATGAAAATATTTTTGAATCATCAACTGCTTCTTGGGCAGCAATCAGTGCTAGACGAGTCGAAGGGGCCATTGTACGTAATTTGTTCTTAGGCACTGATCCTGGCAAATCCTCCAGTCCGTCTAGAGTCGCCGCGATTTTGGAAGGAATGTTTTTATAAAGGTCATTGTCCAATTTTCTTATAAACGATTTTCCTGACAAAATATTTCTCCAAGATGTATATTTATTGGCACCAGCTGGACAAATGGCACCCATACCAGTTATTACGACTCTTTTTTTCATTATTTTATTCTTATAACATTCTAAAAAAAAATGAAAGTGTTGAAAAATATGAAATTTTTAAAACAAAACGATTAACGAATTGAAAATTATTTCTCCTACCTATTTCAAAATAAATAATGATAACTGTTATCAATGTTATCAATTTAATTCAGCCTATACCGCAAATACCTAGAGAGCCTTATACCCACATACCTATATATACCTAAAAATACTAGATAGTTGACTTGGAAATGATTTTGAAGCCCACAAATCACAGAATAGATAAATAATCTCGGGCATTTTGTAGGCTTCATAATTTTTACATTGTAGGAATAGGGAGTCGTAGTCGTCTATCTAGTATTTTTATATACCCTGTGCTTATACCACAGAAAAGATTAAATTTAATCTATTCTGTGCTTATACCATAGACCAATATCACTTATACCACGAATGTTCCGTTTTTCTAATCGACATTCAGACGTCATTTAAATTTTAGGGTGACCGCACACTGGTAAAGCAAAATTGACTGAAGAAATGTAAGTCATATTTAGTCATTTTGCTTTAGTCATAATAAAGCATTGTTGTCGCTCACTACATAAAACATAGCTAGTCAAATAAAAATATATCAAGTAGTCGTCAAAATGTCGTCCGACGAGGAAGACGTTGCTATTCCTATTTTATGGTTTCTTTTAAGAGAAATTGATCAGGAAGAAAATAAAAAAAAACTTTGGGTTCATTCTTTGAAATTGAAACGAACTGAAAATAATACAGTTAAATATTTTGTTCATGAACTTCGAAATGACGAATGTAAATTTAGAAATTTTACACGAATGAGTACCGACACGTTTGATTATATTCTAGAAATACTTAACGATGAAATTCGAAAAACTGATACTAATTTCAGAAAAAGTATCACTCCAGAAGAGAAATTATTGGTGACATTGAGGTAAGTTAATGACAAATTCTACATAATTAGATATTAGATTTTGAGCGGAGCACAGCGAAATAATGTATTGATTTTACAATGATGTGTTTAAAAAAAAAATTTTGTTTATCTTATACAATGATTTATCATTGAATTAAATTATAACATATCCATTACAACGACATGCTTGATAACTACTGAACAGCAGAGCAGTACCCACTTGTCCAACTTTTTTTACATTTTCATTTTTTCGCTCCACTAAGAATTTAAAATAGCAGGTAGTATAAAAATAATTCTTTTAGACTTGCGAATGCTCTTGAACATATTACTTTTTATTGTTATAATACTATTATAATAAAATAAGTTAACACTTAATAAGGTTATACTTAATTATACTTAATTTTTAACAATATAAAAATGATAATTTATTATAATGAAAAATCAACTGTAATAATGCAAAATATAAGAACTTGAACTATCCGACGAGAAGAAATCTAGAGAACTCGCAATGTACTGAATTGCATTAAATTGCTGCGGTTAATGATTTGCATTTAAATGATCAATGAGGTATAATATTAGAATGTGGCGCATTATTGTATCTTGGCATTTCATACGACGTTTCTTGGCTGTCGAGAGCTGATCAATGGTATTTAATACAATTTTTTTGAATCGACGTTGATTTTTATCATTTAATTTTAAATACTTTAAATAATACTTTAAAAAAAGTTCAGGTGTATCCTCATTAATTTTTTTTGGTTGAGTTCTTGTCTTTAGAAATTCCAACATCGGTTCCACCACTCTTTCACTGGGTAACATTTTTCGGTTTGTTCTTGGTTTTTTAAATAATGGTTCATTACTAGATTTTTCATTTTCTGCATCTTCAGTAACTACTGTTTGTGAAATCACTTCTTGTTCAACTGTTTCTAAATTTTTTTCTGTATCTGACCTTATAGGTTCTTCAACGAAACTATCGTTTTCTAAGTTATCTATATGGAATGACGCAACTAGACCTCTAAAACGCAGGGTGCTAAATCTGTGAATGCATCACAGAGTTGTGGCAGAGCCACCCACACCTCCCCTGCACCTAAACCTACAATCCTCGATAAATCAAAATTTTAAAATACATATTAACACACTTCACATAAATAAAAGAAAATATATTAATAATTCTCTTATTTCCTACAATATTAATAACATATTGGTACATTTTAATTTCATAATCTTGTTAGTAAATAACTAAGACATCATATACATTTTAAATCAGCATAATTTTTCTGGGTTTCATGCAGTATAAATAATTCTGCAGCTATGTAATGTGAAATAGCTACAGAAAAGTTCATCGACGGCCATATGAATAGATTATTAAATAGTTTGCAAATAAATTACCCTCGCGGTATGAAAAATATAAGATGGGGGGCGACTTCACTCTACACCCTCTTTTGAGCTACGAATTGAAATATGCTGCTAACATTTTGCAAATAGCCGCTAACTTATTTATAATTTCGAGTCCAAAAATTATACCAATCATTGGTGTTTATACGTAGGTATAGTTTATAGTATAATTTAAAATTATATTATGTAATACACAATTGAAATATACTGCTTACAGAAGTATTTTACAGAATATATCGGGCTACTATTTAATATAAGTTTAATATAGAATAATTGTTTCTTACCCTTATAGTCTTAATACATGGTAATATTACAATAAACATAAATTAATAATTTATTTTTTTAAATGTATTTATTAATTCTTTTTACTCTATATT